GGGGGGGGGGGGGGGGGGGGGCGGAAGAAAGTAAGGGGGATGGAGGAGCGGGAGTGAACGGTGATAGAGGAAGAATGGACGATGAAGAAGTGGGCCGGGGGAGAAGAAGAGAATTGATGAAGCAAAAATGGAAAAGGGGGGTTGCAGGTTTGTCAAATCGAGCCCATCAGGGACAAGTAGATTCAATTTGAGTAAACCGCCCGCGGGCCTCCCCATTCTATTGAAAGACGGAAGAAAAAACGGGGTTTGACAAGAGTAGGATTTTTGGTCGAGCGAGTCGAGTGGAGACGACTGGGGGGCTCGCAAAGAATCTGGTGGCGGAAGAATCGTCGGTTCTATTGTTGGCAATGCTGATATTGTGGAGCGGAGGATTGATTTGGTACGGGAGCCGTTCGTCTCTTAACAGACAAAGGCCAAATCGACTCCCGTGGATGAAAAAGGGCCTTTCTGGACCATTTCGATGCGATGGAGGAAAAAAAAGGAGGAAAATAAAGAGAAGACCGCTATGTGGGGGAAAACCACACGTCAGGCCAGACCAAACGAGCGTAAAAACGCCGTCTTCGGTCGATGAACGGTGAGGTTTAAATGGTGAGAGTGGTGTTTGTACAGTGGAAGCCAAGGTTACGTTCTTATGTGATGCTTGGTAATGACGGCGACGACGATGATGATTGGGTGGAAAAGATGCTTGTTGTGCCAAATGATGCCTGCTGAAAAGTGCCGTTTGAATTTTGAAGGGAAAAAGAGGCGAAGAATCCAGTGCAAAACAAGAGGAAGGAGGAAAGACCAAGAAAACAACAGCCCCGAAGCCCAGTGCTATGCCCATTCAAAGATCCAAGTTGGACGCCGTTCGAAGATGCAAAAGATGACCAGTGAAAGACGCCTTGCTTAGCCCAAACACAAAATCAAAATTTGTTTGCCGCAGAGTTCGTTGCTCCTTGTGCCCGAAATTCCGCGGCCAAGAGAACTGCAACGACGACGGAAGAGGAAAGATATCTCACTTTGAGCTCTTGGTCTCAAATTTCGCGTCGGGCAGCTCCGGCGTGGAGTACTGTGATTCGGCGTAACCAGCCTTGGCACTGGCATGATCATGGCCATTGTGGAGGTGCTGAGAATGGTGACTGTGTCCGTGGTGGTGATGTTGATGCTGGTTCAGAGGAGGTTCTGGCGGGTAGCTTCCAGGAGTGTTGTGCGGCATGGGAGGCAAGTCGTCGTCATGTACGTCGTCGTAATGATACTCGCCATCGTAGTACTCGTCGTCCTCGACCGTATCATCATAGTGCTGACCTCCACCTCCGTGGTTCGAGACCTGATGATTCCCACCGGCAACATGCCCAGCATCCTTGTTGTGACCAGCACTGCCGTTGTTCTTCTTGCTCCCTTTCTTTCCCTTTCTGCCTTTCATCTTCGCCTTCTCCAACAACCGTCTACGCTCAGCTAGTCTCTTCCGTTCCGCCTGGTCCTTCTTTTCGTAGTCCCATATCAGCGCGAAAGGCTGCTTCCCAAAGATGGCCTCGTACTCGCAAAACTCGCATATCCAGATGTCCTCGCGCTTCGGGGGGTTTTGATAGTTCTGGTATTCCTTTTGCAGCCTGCGCTGGCGTGCGGCAATGTCAAACGTTCGCGCTCGGCTACGCGGTTTGCGAGGTTTCGATGGGGGCGGCGGATGCTGCTGTTGCCCTGCATTCTGACTCGTACTTTGTGGAGGTGGAGGAGGAGCTGCGGCTCCGGCAGTGGTTGCAGATTGTGAAATGGGCTGTTGGGCTGTCTGCAAAGGGTAGCTGCCCGGTATCGAAGGAGGAGTCGGTACGCCATTCGGACTTGTTTGCGAGCCACGGGGCCGGCTGGTCACCTTTGCGGAAGGCGGGGGACATGATGACGGACCTGACGGGGCTTGACCGCCGGGCCACACGGGCCTGTTCTCGCCACCCTCTGGTGTGAAGGTGAAGTCCGTTTTTTGCGGCGGTGACTTCGATGCGTGCTGCTGAAGCATGCTGACGTTTTCCTGCCCTTTTGCGCCGGGCGTCGAAGGCATATTTTGGGCAGCGTTTGCAATGGCGGCGGAAATGATACCTGGTTCGCTGGAAACGGGAGCTGTAGCAGCACATGTCTGTGTTAGTTAAACTCAACTAGGCATGACCAAAGCCGATGTCAAAACAAAAAGAAAAAGAAAAAAAAAGGAGGAGGGGGGGGGGAAGATATATGTGGATAAAGCGTTCGGGGTCGCATTCATGAACGAAGGATGGGGGAACATGGTGTCTTCAAACACCTCTCTTGGTCGGGGACATTGGGGAGAGAAGGGAAGAAGGAAAAAAAGAGCACGACGTGCCTGTCTTTCCGTACTGCTGGTAGCTGTTGGGGACCTTGTGTGAAGCAGGCGCATTTAAGCCATTCGTCGACGCACCTAAGGGTCTCCTATCTAGCGAACCACGCCCCGATCTGCTAAATCTTCCTCGGCCCGGACCTGACAAGGTCGAAGGGACCGCTGTGATGCCTCCAGGCGAGTTGTGTGCATACGCATACGAGGTACCGGCGTGTCCTCCTGACGTTCCTGTCGCCTCGTCTTGGTCGTCGTTGGAGCCGTCGCGCGACGATAGCGAGATCTTGGCCAGGTCTGTCGATAGCGAGTTCGAAGGGCCGTGGCCACCACCTCCCATGCCGGACTGGGGTATTTTCCGCTTCTTCTTATTGCTCATATTCTCGATCGAATCGTAGCCGTCGGCAGATGTCGGAGACCCTATTACCAAAGAAATTCTTAGCCTCAATCTTCTTTATCTTTGTCTCTCGCAAAACATCTCCTGATAACGATGGCGGCTTTGCCAATGTTGACACAAATGCAGCAGGTTGTGCATGTGTGCATGTGTGCATGTGGGATGGTGGTGGTTGTGTGGGTACGCGAGAGTGCTATTACCATAATAGTCTCCATCTCTCCGAGTGATCTGAAGAGAGTCGGGTGAGAACTGCATGGTTGGCAACCTCTCCTCATCGTCCTCGTCGGCGTCGCTGTCGACCTCCGAGTGCTCATGCCCACAGTCCACGCAGTGGACCTGCTCCTGGCTTCCCGCCCGCAGTCCTCGCCGCTGCACCTGCACCTGAGTCGCGTCGCTTCCCTCCTGCACATAGGGATACTGGAAGATTGGTGACGAGCTCTGCGGCTCAGGCGGGAAGTCGATTGAGGCAGCGTGCTCGGCGGAGAGGCGGTCGCGCAAGCGGCGCTTGGGCATGGGACGTATGGGGCGGCCTGGGTAGACGGGCGAGGTCGTGTCTGGCGTGGGCGAGGGTCGCAGCGGAGGAGAGGCTGGCCAAGGGTACGCACCGGCTGTAAGGCCTGTGTGAGTAACAGATACTCCGTTGGACATGATGGCAGTATGCGGGTTGTTGAAGCTCGTGCTGACAAACGGCGGATCCAAGATGCCCGGAGAGGGGTTGTTTGGTTTGTTGGACCGTCGTTGACAACAACGATGGGAACCAGGTCAAAAAAAAAAAGAAAAAAAACAACGAGGGCGACGGCAAGGCTGGATGGGATGGATGGTGAATGTTGCGAGGCCAACTTACCTGCTGTGGCCATGACGACGTGGTCGATGGCGGGAAGAGGGATGCAGTAGAACGCTCAGAGAAGCCAAAGGAAGAGATACCGCACGACAAGCAATCAATAACGATGGCCGTCCTCTCCTCGTCTCTCTAGACGTCTCTATCGCGCGGTTCTTCTATCTCTTTCTCTCTCTCTGTCTCTCTCTCTCTCTCCTCCTCTCTCTTTCTGCCTCTCTTCTCTCTCCACACACGCTCGCTCTCTCGCTCTCACACTTTTCTCTCCTTTTCTAGTTGCTGCAAAGAAACGAACCGATGTCGGAGGACGGCGGTGGTGTATGCAAGTTAGGGACGTTGGGTTGAGGATTTTGCCGAGCTCTCTGGAGAGAAAGGGCAGCGTCTGTCAGTACACGCAGCCAAGCACAGCACACATGTGCCGGGCCAGAACGAGGGCAGGGAAACGAGGACGGGGCCGGAAAGGAGGCCAGTCACGGCAGATGAACAGAGCCGGGAGGGTGCAGAGCAGGCGTGAGGGGAGGAAGAGTACCGGGGATGGGATGGGCTTGTGAGATTGGAGTCTGATGGGGGAACAGAACAGATTGTGCGGGTGGTCTGGTGGTTTGGAAATGCACACGGGCATTTGCTGTTGGCAGCGCACGAATGAGCGAACGTGGCAGCGCGTGGAGCAAGAGAGGAGGCGCCGGACGCTTGGGCGCCGTAGACGGGACTCACACACGCACTCGCCCAGGGACACAGCGCACACACGCAGCGCTCGTCCGGCACGCACTCGCGCAGAGCTCGTCCAGCACGCGCCCCCGCTGCGCCTTCTTTCCTGTTCTCTGCGCTTCTGCCTCTCGTGGCCTCGCCCGTCGCGCGCCGAGGAAGCCACCGCCCAGCGACGCCCGCGACGCCCGCGACGCCCGAAACCCTCGCCCTCGCCCTCGCCCCCGCCCGCGCCCACGCCCACGCCAGCGGTGCGGATGCCGGCCGAACCCAGCGGCTTGGGCGCTCACCCGCTCTCTGCACCGCGACCGCCCCCCGGCGCAGCGGCTGCTCAGCGCATCCATGCACCCGCCCACCGCGACCTGCGCTGGTCTTCTGGAGTCCGACGTCTGGATTCGATCCGCTTCTCTCCCTTCCCTTGGTGCGCCCGTGCAAAACCCATCTCCTGCTTTCTCGTCTTCCCCATTTGCTTCCATCCTCCCCTCCCTCAGACCCCAAACGCTTGCTTCCTCCTTTGCCCATGCAACCGTCGTTTTGAGACGAGCCGGTGCTGCTACCCGTTTGCGTGGGCCGTGCTACCACTTGCCTTGAATCTGTTGCGCTTGCTGTGCCTCACTACTCTGCTCTGGCTTCTGTTTCTGGTCTTTTCTTTTCTTTGCTTTGCTTTGCTATGCCACACCCTGTGATCGTCTAGTTCGACGGCAGCGATGCAAACAACCTGTCCCTCGTTGAGCGTGCCGCCAATAATCTCCCCCAAAAGAACCGTCATGCGATGCTACGCACGCTGTCTCGGTGGTCCACCTGCCTTGTCTCGTTTCAGGACAGAACGTGGTGTGTCGTCATCACCTCCGACCACGCCTGTTTCGCTCCCACTTCGGACTCGCGTTCTCCTTTCTGCCCGACCTTCCACTCCCAGCGCGACCTGTCAAAAGCTGCGTTCGCCGTCGTCACTTTGAAACGGCGTGCCTGCGTCGAGCAGTCCGCTCTCACCCTTTTCCCTCTTGCTGGCGTCGTGTGCATAGCCTGCGTTCGTGCTAGACCGTCTCCCGCCGCGAAGGAGCCGCTCCACACGCCCATCGGCCCTTTTTCCATTCCATCCTCTCGCGCAATGTCGTGATGCTCACGTGCTAGGCGCCTGCCGCTCAGATCGGATCTCGCTTGCCCACATCCTCGCCTTTGCATGGCCCTGGAAAAGCAGTCGTGGATGCCATCTCCGCTGGCTGGGAAAATCCTCAGCTTCGCTCCAGATTTTGGTGTGGCAGAGTGGCACGTCTTTGCTCTGCCGGATCGCTCGTCTACGCTTCGGTACATGGGTTCAACTCGGCAACGTCAACATCTCAACCCCCGCATTCGAGGGGTAACTAGAGCCCAGCCTGTTCGCGCTCCGCAAGTGCAGCGGAGAGAAGCGACTATATACTCATGCCTTATGTTCGTGAAGCGCTCTGTAAGCCGGCGCGGCGTCTTTGCCTTGCGAAAATTCGACCCGTTCCCTTAGGATTCCTTCTCCATCGTAGCCGTGCACATAACTAATAGAGCTGCCCATTAACTTGCCACCGTTCGCACCATGGCCACTGGCACACAGGCGCCCTTCAAGATCGAAGGCAAAAGAGCGTGGATCTCGGGCGCCGGATCCGGTAGGGCCGAACCATCTCACTGCGTCGCCATCCCGTCGCGAGCAGAAGAAGAAAAGAGAGACGTCGTGAATCTGATCATCGTTCAGGTATCAACTACTGCCTAGCCAAGCAGCTGCTCGAAAGAAACTGCTCCGTCCTCATCGCGGATCTGTCTCTGCGCCCCGAAGCGCAGGACCTGGTCGACAAGTACTCTTCCCGCAGCGGGCCCAGGGCCGTCTTCCACAAGACAGACGTGGCCGACTGGACCCAACTCCAGGCCTCGTTCGAGGCCGCAAAGAAGGAGTTTGGCGGCCTCGACATCGTCGGCCCCGGCGCGGGCGTGTTCGAAGAGCCCTGGAGCAACTTCTGGATCCCGCCGGGCTCCAAGGGGACGCGCGACACGATCGAGAGCAGCCGGTACAAGACGCTCGACATCAACATCACGCACCCCGTTCGCGTCACGCAGATGGCCATCTCGGAATTCCTCAACCCCCAGGACCCGGCCGACAAGGTCAGCCCCGCGAACCCGAAGCGCGTCATCCTGACGAGCAGCATCGCCGGCCAGGCGTTCGGCATCCCCTATCCGCTGTACTTCACCAGCAAGCACGCCATCAGCGGCTTTGCGCGCAGCATGGGCGGGCTCGAGGCGCCCCTGGGCATCCGCGTCAACTGCGTCGCTCCCGGCATCGTGAGGACGCCGCTCTGGCTCGACCATGCGGAAAAGCTCAAGATCATCGACGAGGAGACGGACACATGGTGAGTGCAATCAATACAACCTTCCCCCCTTTTCTCCCTTTCCTATTCGTCCTCGATGTCTCTCCAACCCCGTCGGCGGCAAGCCTCTGGCTAACGCCCGCGTCTCTCTCCCTCGCAGGGTCACTCCCGAAGAGGTCGCCGAGCAGATGATCCGCCTGCTCGAGGACCCAGAGCTGCCTGGCGGCACCATCTTGGAGGTCGCCCATCAGAAGTCGAGGATCGTACCCCCATTCATGAACCCTGGCCCGTCCGGCGTAGGCTTGAGCACGTCGCGCGCCGACCAAGCCGAGGCCGAAACGCTCCAGCAGGTCACCGCGCCGGGATGGGGGAAGGTGTGATGGACGCGGCGGAACAAGGCGCCCCTCCAGTGGGGAAGACGACAGGTTTGCAGATTCGTGGCGACGCGACGAGTGAGAAGAGGCTCGGGCAAGAAATATGCTGTGTCATGTCTACGTGAAGATGGTTACGACGCGATTCGGAAGAAAGATCATCTTGAGATTCGCTTGCCAAATCTCATCACCTTTGCCATTTCTTGGCGGTCCAGTTACATGGCGTTTCTCCCAACCTGTCTTCTTTCCTTCCCCTCCCCTTATCGCTCGTGAACACTCTTCTAAACAATTCCGCAACCATCGTACGTGCCGCTTCGTTCGGCGCAGACCACACCGACCGTGACGTCAGTTTTTTGCCATTGCCTGGCGGCGCCCGAAGGTCGCCACGCCACCCTGCACTCGAAACCTCGTCTGGAACGATTCTCCGGACTGAGGCGAGAGTGTCAAGATCAGGCCATCTTGCGCTGCAGCAGCATCTCGTGCGGGAACTGTGGAGCCCAGATCGGGACTTTCCTCCAAGCGCGGCGCCCGTACCAGCCCACGAAAGCGTTTGCGCGAGAAGCGCCATGAGGAAGCGGCATAAGGAAGAGGGGGGGGAAAAAAATGTGCTGGGTTATTGGGAGCGCGCAGGCGCAACTCTGGCGTTCGAGGAACAGCATCTGACACTGACGCATGCGAACAGGAGTAGAACGCGCTAAGAGTGGGCGCGATGATGCGTGGTACCCGTTCATGCCGTCTTGTCGCACGAAAAGAGCGTGCAGGTTGTTGCATCTCTGCTACTATTCTCGGCTGCGCGTCTCTCTCTCTCTGTCTGCAACGAAATACGGGACTCAAACGGCCTCTCAGCGACCTCGTGGTCCTCAGCCGCACGTTTTCCCCAGCGCTAGCGCCCGTTGGGTTCGACTACGCTTGCCTGATCGGGCCTCGTGCTCACTGCGACGCTCATCGATCCTCCCGTGCTAGACTGTAGCGCGAACCAGATCCTTTTCGCAGATACGTTGCAGCAGCATGTCGGACCAGCTCGTCTTTGTCTCTTCGACTCTACCATAGGGCAAAGACGGGTGGACCGGAGCGACGAAAAGGAGACGCAAAATTGCGACGTTCCTTTTTGGCTTGACGGGTGTTTTTTTTTTTCGGGGGGGCGTCCGTCCAATCGTTCGCTGAGAGCGGTCCCAGCTTCAACAAACGTCTTACGCCTTCACGCACGCTTGCCAACGAGAAAGAATGGATGTGTTGGACCTGCCGCTTTCGGATGCTGGAAGCTTTTCTAGCTGCTTGCAGAATGGAGCAATGTGCCAGTTTTCTTTCGCGAGTATCTCTGCGCGAAGGCAGTCGTGTTGAATTGGACGACCTCTGTGTATAAAAGAATAATGTTCCTCGTGCCCTCTTGTGACCATGCATCGCTCGTCAACATCAAGCGCTCGACTTCGCCCTCGAAACAGACATAAAGACGCTCCCGGCTCTGCCTCATCTTTAAACTCGCCTCGAACACATTGGGGACCTCCCACCAGACCCCCTTCATCAATGCATCGCCAGCCTGGCCGCGCAGCAGCGACGCCGAAAAAAAGCATGGGCGCGGCCACATCCAACGCGCCGAGTGATTCTCCAGGCCGTTCAAAACCAGTCGTCGGAGCGAGGTCTGGACAGACTGCTTCTGAGGCTTATCGATGCCCTCACGGCGGCAGTCTGTCGTGTTTTCTCTCGAGAAGATACTGCTATGAGCTGCGTTATCTCGAGGCCCAGCTGGGCTCGCGGACGAAGAACGGGGTCCCTCGCTGAATCTTCATAGCTCAGCCTTTCAACTGCTGGCCGCGCGTGAAAGCACGGAGCCGATCTATCAAGCTCGGCTCATCCGTCGCGAGACGTTCGGCCATGGTTTACTGGCGCTTTGTTTAGGGTTCACCGAGCCAGCGATGGCGAGGCCTTGCGCAGCGCGGACTTTTTTCTATCTGGCTAGGCTCTGTGGTGCTCTATATGGCCGCTTCATACTTCTCATAATCCAATTACGAGTTCATGGATTGGGCCCAGACCGACGGGTTCGCTATCAGGGCTCTTCTTGTTCTTGGTTTGCTCAATTCTAGAAATCGTCATTTCGGAGCATAGCTGTGGACTTGACCTTTGTTCAAGATCAGTGGGCTTGCCGTGTCGAAGGCGGCACGGTCCTTGTACCTTTCGTTCGGTCCTCTGTACGCTGCGATGCGAGCCATTTGGCGCAGCTATTTTTCAAGTGGGTAAAAGGTCTGTTACGTGGACAGTTTGGATTCAAAGAAGCTAAGTGCTATCTTGCGAACGAGTGCTGGAAAGCTTCGACTCATGTAGAGACTTTGCTGCCTCATGCATACCGAGATCGCACACAATTCGGCGCGTACAACGACTGAGGACAAAACCATTTGATTGCTGAGCAGAGTTATCGACGGTGCAATTTGGCGAGAATTTTCGTGGTAGAAGATGTTCTATAAGATTTTGATAAGGACACGAATTTAAGTCGTCCGAATTTCTGCCAATGTTAGTATAGGTAGACAAGGACTGAGTTCCACAGGGTCAAAATAGTTCAAGTTTTTCTCTCATATCAGGAACGTATGCTTGCCGCAAATATACAAAGCTTACATTACGGAGAAGGCTATTGGGAGATTTGAAGGATAGGATTCAAAAGCTCTGCCTTTTCGTTGTTTTAGTGCGCTAAAGTTTGAAAGCGACACAAGTAACAGTTCAGTCGATAGCTAACGGAACGATCTTAAGACTGACGACGCCGTCCCTGTCTTAAGCGTAATGTAAGGATTAGTGCTCCGAATCATGGGGACCTCGTCATTTGACAAAGAATCAAAAATATCAAGAGCTTAGAAAAGTGAAATTAACACGGCTCTTTTCAGAGGCATATATCCTAAATTCGCTCCGGTTCACGCCCTTCTTTAGCTGATCGACAGACGGGTTCCTGAACGGGCATATTGGGCCAAATAGCTGTGAACATGGGCCACCGGAAACGCAGGGACCGCAAGATGAGAGATCTTACAAGCTGGTCATCATCCAGACGTATTCGACCGAGACTTCAGTGGTGAGCACCGGCGGTGAATGCATAGTTCTGCCGAACTCTGTTGCTAATCTTCACTGAGGTCTCCTTCTAACGAATGCTTGCGTAAAAAAATCACGTGGTTGAACGCACCGTTGTGAATCTTTTTCACGCGAGCATTCATCGAAAAGAGACCGGTAGTGATGGTCTCCTCTTTACCTGGATTGGCTAGCTTGGTCTCTACCTTAAGCTTTTATATCATTGTTGCGATGCCCTACTGTAGTGAGAGACCTCATGGTTCTGATCAAGGTTCAACTTTTGGCCAACACCTAGCCAGCTCGGGCGTGAACAGCTTTTCAGGCAAGAAAGCCGGACCGGCCCATGTCCGCATTCAAAATCTTTGCGCGGGTTTCTCGTCGGCCCAGCAGCATCGCAGCTCTCAGCAGCCAGAACTTGCCTCCACGCGTTTGCAGAGATCGCGCCATTCCTGGCAGTGGCTTTTGAAAAAGACAAACTAGTTGAACGCGCGAACGGCGACTCCCGCAGACCTTGTTGGGTTCATGCGTGCTGTAGAAACACTTGGCGTACCTTTGATCTGTCTCGCTGTTTGTGAAGAAATGGGTTTGTCATCTCAGCGCTGAAACTCGAGCGACGGAGTCACCAGATACACACTTGCAGGTGGTTTAGAACATGCACCCAAAGCCCAGCACTCCACAAGACATATTCATTACAGGTTCTTCCCTCGCCGAGTTTACCGACCGACTGGAGTTTCCTATCCACTGGCTGGTGCATTAGTGAAATTATCGTCTCATCTAGCGTCGACTACCCATCAAGCTGGGTGTCCAGATAATGAATGCAGAGACTTGGAAGACACGATGCCACGAACTCCTGAAGATTGCTGACGAAATATATGGATAGTTCGTTATCGCAATCGCAATAGGATTGATTCTACGAGCCGGATTGCCCTGATGCCAACACTGGGCACTTCGACTTGATGAGCACGATGAATATGACGAATTCTCAATGGCTAGGAATAAGGCCGAAGAAATTTTGTTACCTCGCGATTCTAGCCAAAGCATCAACGGGAGAATTTCTTTTTAATCGTTTCCATGTTCGCATAAATTCAGGAGGGTTCACGTTCGAGAAGTTAGAGGAATGCTATATGAACACTTTGATGAGAGATTGGGCAGGGTCGAGCATATCTTTCTCATTTTCTTCCTCGGAAGCCAAGACCGGGCTTCAGAAATCAAGGATCAGCAAGCCTTGAGACAAGCAGCAGCAGAGCCAAGGAATGACGGTCATTTCACAAAATGCAGAGGCAGGATCACGGTTAAGCCATTGCTTGCTGCACGTGTGGAACTGGCTTGTGTGCGCTTTTCCTAATCAGGCAGTTGATGGTGGCTAAAGCCTGATAATCCAGATGATCTTCCAGGGCTGGCTGGCTGCAACCTCTGCGTTCGGGAAGCCAAAAACGACGGACAAACAGAACGTGCAGCTGATATCATTGCTGAGTGACGGAATGTCGTGTATATATATCCCGTCCCTTCACATCGGCCGGTATCCTTCCAGCCGCAAGCCGCACGCAGGGGACATTTATCCACGCAGCTATGTTTGTCCTTCCCGTGTCCTTGATAATTGCTGTTAGCGCAACCTCAGTACTTGCTTGCAATGATTGTTATGGCTCGTCCAACGATGTGGTGCTCACTCGGCGCGTTAAACGTATGCAGCCGGATGCATTGGGCGCTACGACCGGTCCGAAAGGGCCTCTAGAATGGGGGCAGATCAACTTTTTACACACTACAGATACTCATGGTTGGCTTGAAGGTGGGTGGCGAATGTTTTCCAGTCATATATGCATTAAACTATTCAAAAGCATTATGCAATTGCGAATAAAAGAGATACTGATATGATATCTCAAGGCCATCTCAAGGAAAGGAATTACGGTGCAGACTGGGGTGACTTTGCCTCGTTCACAAAATCAATGAAATCCAAGGCCAGGCATCTTGGTGTTGACTTATTGTTGATCGACACTGGCGTAAGCTTTACCGCTGTGCGCTGTATTTTCTAGCCTAATCTCAATGGATAAGGATTTGCATGATGGAGCTGGCTTGAGCGACGCCACAGATCCTAATGGACTAATCTCAAATCCGATCTGGGAAAATATTGATTGTGGTGAGATTGCTTTTCATGCCGCTACAAGACGCGTGCTAATTGTATCTATAGAGTCCATCCGTCTCAATGACATTATAACGACTATTTGAAGTTTTTTGAGACGCCGACAAGATTAAAATCATTCATGGGCCTCTCTGAGCGGAATTGAAATACATTGCAAACAGATTTTTAATTCCAACAAAAGCTGACCAGGTGCAAAGATGATCTGCTTACTATCGGGAATCACGAACTATACGTCTCTGAAATTGCGTTCGAGCATTTCAACCAATTTTCAAAGGTATATGGTGATCGATACGTGAACAGTAACGTCAAGATCTTGAATCAGACCTCTGGGAAATATGAAACACCAGGTGTCCAGTACCGCTACTTCACCACAGAGCGAGGCTTGCGGATCATGGCCTTTGGGGTGCTCTTCGATTTCACGGGCAACTCAAACGCGTCTCAAATTACGAAAGCGGCCGCAATGGTGAAAGAGCAATGGTTTATCGATGCTGTGAACTACAAAGATCCAATTGACATGTTTATTGTCATTGGCCATAACCCTGTACGCACCAATGCGAGCACAAGCACATTAGGCACGGTGTATCAAGCTATTCGAGCTGGGAAGCCCGACACGCCTGTCCAATTCTTTGGGGGTCATACGCATATCCGGGACTTCTTCGTCTACGATAACAAAGCCACGGGCATCGAGTCAGGACGATACTGTGAGACTCTTGGTTGGGTTGCCATTGATGGTCTTGACGTCGATTGCTACAAAAAGCCACTTCCGTCAGGTTTACCCACTCCTACCCAGAGTGCTGTTGTGGTGGCAACCGGGAAAGCCGCAGCAAATTTGTCATTGTCTACGAGTCCATCAAGTCTGAAGTATGCACGCCGCTACCTTGACTGGAACCGCTTGACATTTGCATTTCATGCCACTGGGTCTCAAGATGGCACGTTCGACACTCAAAATGGCAAAGCGGTAACTGCGACCATTTCTGGAGCTCGAAATCAACTCAATTTGACAGAACTTTACGGCTGTGCTCCACAGACATACTGCATGTATTGTAAGCCGTTTGGTGATCCCGGCAATATTTATACTCTTATTCCAACCGCACTGGCTGCAACAGTGGTCAACCAAACCCGAAAGGATACTCCGCGCTTCATCATCATCAACACTGGCAGTATCAGATTCGACCTCGTCCAAGGTCCTTTCACGAAGGACGATAGCTTCATTGTAAGCCCTTTTACCGATGCATTCCAGTATATCCAAGATGTGCCATACAGTCAAGCAAGCAAAGTGCTTGGAATTCTGAATGCTGGTCCATTCCAAAAGCGTGATCTTGTAACCTCGAATTTTGGCTTCGACAGCATGCGGACGCTGGGTGTTGAGTCCCAGTGTATCGACCCCCCAATCACACACGATCATATTGGGAAGCGAAGTTACCCGGGAGGTAGTCTTATTCGCAGACAAACTAGCGAAACGCCAGGCTACACCACCACTGATGACTTTGGGACGAACGGCGACGATACTCCCCACAGCAAAATCCCAACATACACGATGCCGAACGATATTCAAGCAAATGCCTCGATGCCAACCGATGGCAGTACCCCTGAGACAGTTGACTTGATATTCCTGGACTTCATTGCCAGCTACGTCTTAAATGCTCTTAATAGCGTCGGCGGTAGCTTTACAAAATCAGATATTGGTTATTATATGGATCCCAGTTTTACCACAAATTCGTACTTGCAGGAGTACGCGAAGACAGCTTGGCAGCAGAATATGCCTAATTGTCCTGTTGGTCAAGGGGTTGGATCATAGATTCGAGAAAAAATCTACCAATGTCTCAGAAGTGCCGTGTTCAGTTACCACTTTGGCGAATATTGTGTACATTGAGAGCCAGAATAAAAAAAACCGTGGATTCCAAATTGCGGAATTCGTTCCGGTCAGTGCTTTGTCAGCCCGTGTTTCCAAGTTCTTTCACGACACTGATATTAATCTATGCGAGTTGCACGTCGACTTGTAAGTTTTCCTCCTTGCTTTCATATTCAGTATCAAACATCGCAGAAAGATATGGCCTTAACGGAAGTGCATCGCGAAGGAACAAATGACGGATGGCATGGAAAGATTACGTCTAACGGCGAATTTGAGCCAGCCAAAGACAGATATCACCTATACATCGGTTAGGATCCAGACATAATTGATAGATTGAGCCGCAAAAATTAACCGCGTAACGCAGGGCTTTTCTGCCCATTCGCCCATAGAGTCAATCTTGTAAGGCACATAAAGGGACTCCAGGACCTCATTCCATTATCGATTGTAAAACCATATCCGAAAGGCGATGAAAAAGGCTGGCCTGGATGGTGCTTCCCAAAAACCGATGAAGAATATCCTGGTGCGACTGTGGATCATCTGTTCGGAAGCGAGTACTTGCACGAAATATACTTCCGAGCAGATAAAGGTTACAAGGGCAGATATTCGGTGCCTTTGCTCTGGGACAAGAAAAATAATGTGGCTGTCAGCAATGTATGGCATTGGGATCTTCCATCACATAAGTTATGTCTAAATTTTTACAGGAAAGTGCTGAGATGCTTCGCTGGTTGCCAATGGCATTCAATCCCTTGCTCCCTTCAGAAAAAGCAAGCATTGACCTATATCCGATGCAACATAGAGAAGCCATCGACCGCATCAGTGATTGGATACAGCGTGATCTCAACACAGGTGTTTACAAAGCTGGGTTTGCTCCGGATCAAACAACGTACGATAAGAACGTCGTTCCTGTGTTCGGAGCACTTAACAAAATTGAGGAACTGCTTGCCGCTGGTGGTGGACCGTTCTTTCTAGGCAAGGACATGACAGAGTTGGATCTCAGGCTCTACCCAACAATCATCCGCTTTGACACAGTCTATGTTCAGCATTTTAAGTGTAACTTGGGCACTATAAGACATGATTATCCACAGATTCACAATTGGCTCAAGCATCTGTACTGGAACGTGCCAGGATTCAAAGAGACGACGGACTTCAAGCACATCAAAGAAAACTACACGAAATCACATTTTGACGTGAACCCAAAGGCTATTACACCTATGGGCCCGTACCCTGACATCGAAGAAGGATTTGAAGTTGATTTTAGTAAAGTTCCTATTGGTACGGTGAAATTGCAAGCAGTAATCGACTACCAAAAAAGCTTACCGTAGGTGCGCCTTATGAATTATTATGCGGTATCCTCGCCGGATACAAAGAAATACACTAATTTCCATTCCATTGCTAGATTATCTCAAGAATGAAGATAAGTAAAATTTTGAATCCTGAATTTGAACTACATTTCATAGTTTTGTTTAATTTCAGCGATTGAGCTTTGCTTCCGGTTGCATTAGTTGCAAGGATATATATAACCAGAAGCTATCTACCCACAGCACCAAATCTCGAGGTTATCAAGAAAGCCCAAGAGCCAAGCGCAAGCCATTGGATGGACTTTTTCAACAGTCTCCCAAGTCACGTGAAGTGTGAAAAGGAGGACAAATGCACCTGAGTCTTCTCCCATCCTTTGAATTTAATATTCAACAGTGCGACATTATGAGCACCTGCAGAGAATTTCTCCAAAAAATTTATGCTTTAACATGTATGGTCATAGTAATCAAAATGCATCTTATAACTCACAATGTTTTCAACTTGCTCTAATAACCTTAGATCTGAATTTAACGGTGTAATAGAACGTTTAGAAGTCAACATGCACTCTGATTATACGAGGGTCTGTTGTATTTGTGTATTTTGGGCATGTTGTTCTCTGACGGCAGACTACAAAAGACCAGCGGATCCATTGCCACAGTGGAATCATCCAAGCGGAATTGACTGCAGGTACCCACTCAAGTATATGCTGACATGCTTAGGAATTTCACATGGTTGTGGCCCAGAGGCTTGATTTCCAACGTTAATTATTCCGAAAATCCGTCTCAATCCTATCTTTGTTTTACCGAAGTTTAGGTGGTTAGAACTAAGCTACTTATGGAAGAAGCATCAACCCGTTGAGGAAAGGATTACTGATCTGATCTGATACTTTGCGACCGTGCGGGGGGCTGATTACATTATCTCCCATTGTGCCGCTAAAACCAGCCAATAGATGTAGATTCTCAGGCTGTGGACTCATACATATAGATCCACGGCTTTCTCACAGCGATGTATGACTCCTAACACTAATAATCGGAAATGTGCTCTCCGGATTACAAAGCTACGTTCCTTTGTCATTCGTAGACATTGCGTTGGGGCGTGATTGTTCAGAGCGCTGTGCGTATCGCCATGGCGTAGGTACCGGGGTGTCAAATTACTGGATCAGGCAATCAATGGCATGTGTAGATTCATAGGGTCAGCATTCTGAGGAAAGTATTTGAGTAGACGAAACGGTCACTCACGTCGAATATCCTTTCATTCATCTGTAAATCATAGTCCCTAAACAGTCTTATATATCCAGTCTCAGAAAAATAGTGCTCGAACTAATTTTCATCTCGGATGGCCAACGTAATTAGAGATTCATTTATTGGGCAGTTGCTCCGAATTGCCAGCGGGAATCGAGTCTTCCTTTATCCAGAAGAAAAACCTGGTTTCAGATGGGCGCCTTTGGTAATATGAAAACACCTCAAATCTATGTAAACGCTAATTGAATGAAGGATGAATTACTTGCAAAAAAATATAATGAAAACCCCGAAGAAGTCGCTGATGGGAGCGTCAAAAATGATGTTGAATCAGTGAGCGACAGTGGAGACAAAGATACTGAGAAAGAGGACACTGAAAGACACTTCGCACCCCTAACTACAATTCCAACAGCTGAAGACGTTGCATTGCGGAGAACAAGCACGGCACGATCCCATATCAGTCGCTCCTCGACCAGACCTTATACTCGAGAGCGTTTCGATGCGGAACAGGCGATTGCTGCAGAAAAGACAACGAGCATAGTGCTTGCGCCAACAAAAACATCTGATGGCACCATCCTAGTGGATTGGTATACCACGGATGATCCAGAGAATCCACAAAATTGGTCCCTCGGGAAGAAATGGATTGTGATGCTGCAAATGGCCGCATATTCTATGGCCGTATACGGTTCTTCATCTATGTATGCACCTGCTGAGGGTGGAGTGATGCAGGCCTTCCATGTAGGTCCCACTCCCGCTGCTCTCGGACTGGCTATGTACGTGATTGGATATGGTGTTGGTCCATTACTTTGGGCACCATTGAGTGAAATCCCAGCAATCGGACGAAACTGGGTCTGTGGTGAGTTTACCGGCGATCATGTTAAACGCGACGATCAACTGACGTTGGACAGAGTAACAATTCCTGAAATTACAGTCATGAGATGGGTAGGCTAATCGTCAAATTAAGACGCACCGACGTATTTCCTCTTCGTGATTCTTTCTATTCCCACAGCAGTAGTGAACAATTATGCTGGACTCCTTGTTCTCCGCTTCCTAACTGGTTTTTTTGGATCTCCGTTAGTATCTACTTTATTTATCTATTTGCCAATGCTGATTTTTGAAAGTTGTCTCGCGAATGGCGGCGCTTCTATTGGCGATATCTTCGGACTCCTTGATATACCTTTGTATTTAGCCACCTGGACCGTCGCGTGCTTCTGGGGACCTGGTACGTTTTCGATTGTCTCATTCATGGCATAACTGACCGTATCATAGCTATCGGCCCAGTCATAGCAGGCTTTGCTGTGCAAGAAAAAGGTTGGAGATGGGGACTTTGGGAAATTTTATGGTTAAATGCTGTAATCATGGTCATTTTCATATTTTTCTACCCAGAAACCTCCGCCGACAATATCCTTCGCCGCCGTGCAGAGCGCCTACGCAAGTTGACAGGGAACCCAAATATCAAGTCTCAATCCGAGATCAACCAAGCACAGATGAACGCCAGAGAGGTTGCCTATGATGCCCTCATCAAGCCGGTGGAGATAATGTTGAAGGACCCTGCAGTCGCATTCACGAACCTATACGTAAGTTCAGCGAATTTAAAATTGTTTTAAGCTAACAATGTGCTAGACCGCTTTGACTTATGGTATCTACTACAGCTTCTTCGAAGTTTTTCCTCTTGTTTATCCAAAAATCTACGGGTTCAACCTTGGCGAAACTGGACTTACGTTTTTGACAATTGGTGTTGGCTGTGTTATCGGAGTGACCACTTTCCTAGCATATCAGCTCGTCTATCTGATTCCTGATATCAAGAAGAACGGGTTGCGTGCACCAGAGCACCGTCTAGTTCCAGCCTTGTTTGGAGTGGTTGCACTGCCGATCGGGTACTTCATGTTCGGATGTTCGTATCTCTCTCTCAGCATATCAAATGAGTAGAGCTAACTTTGCTTTTTAGGGACTGCCCGCCACGCTGTCCACTGGATTGTCAGTTTGATCGGCGTAACCATCCTAGTTTTCGCGAACTTTTGGATCTTCCAGAGTATCTTTGTGTACTTGCCTCTATCCTATCCAAGATATGCTGCTTCACTCTTTGCCGCCAACGATCTTTCCAGGTCTTCGCTTGCTGCGGCATGCGTACTATTCTCAAGGCCGATGTTCGTCAATTTAGGAATCGGTGGAGGGGTCAGTTTGCTTGCGGGTTTAAGCTGCTTGGGTATTATTGGTATGTTCTATCTCTGGAAGTATGGTGCATGGCTGCGCAGCAAGAGCACTTTTGCAGAAAGCTACTCATAATGTGTTGAAAATCATACATGAACAAGGCAAGAGAGTAAAGTATAGATGCTAGATGATTTAAAATTCTGTTTGTGATATTGCTCTTTGCGACCCTGCAATTGCATTTTGTTTGGAGCTGGTTATTCAGGCATTTACTATTTGGCGTTTGTCAGGTGTATAATAATGAATGTTGAGCCTTTTCTTCCAAGGATGGATCAAAATGCTTTGCACGAGGTGATACCGATCCGATGCGAATAGAGGAAGTAGTTCAGCGGTATGTATCTACGCGGACTAGAAAATTTGTTCAGACTATGCACTTTCCGTGGCCTACACAAAGTCAGCAACGTGCTTCTATTATTCGATTACCAAAACTAACTATAGCTTGAAGCATTCGGTTTTTGGCAATAGCCTCATCGACGTCGCTCTGTAAGTCATCAAGTATAGGCCCATCGGTAGTCGTTCCGTTCAGACTATTTGCCTTCGCGAGTTGCAGGACCTGGATAGCCTCAAGCTATCTTGTGTGTCAGATCCTTACTGTATATACAGATAGCAGCATACCTGTGCCAAACCTCTTGTGACTTGAGCGTTTACACTTGACAAATTCATATTATTGCTTCGGACACGAGACCCGCAGTTCATGAAGCTCAAAAGATCGTCTTTAGCGACTCGAAAAAGCAAGGCATCCGGTGTTGGAGCCGCAACCAGACTTTGCATCTGACTTAGGATCGCTTTCTCGCCATTCTGCGCCATGATGTTGTAGTCAATGCCGGCTACTAGTTGCTGAATTATCGTAGACGATGTACCATTTTCCTGCCTTCTTGCAATAGCTAGATGAGCAAATGCACTTGCTTGGTTTCCATGTAATGTGTATATGATTAGAAAAATTCCTAGCATAATTCTTGACATCTCGTGCAGGTTCATGAATAAAATTTTCCTGGTTATGGAAGTTTTGAAGAAGGTATCTTTGCTTTCAAAAAAATAGCGATAAGTAAGACATGCCATCTGAGACATCCTTTGTATGTCTCGGGTTAGAGATTTACGCGTCCCAAGCTGATCGTAACGGATGTTTGTCTGCAACGCGTTTTGTTTCGAATCGAACTAGACCAGCCAATCGATAGCAACACTTTCGTAACAATATTAGTGTTAATTCAGCTGCGGATGAGATAGAACTAAATTATGATAGTTATGAGTGATATAAACCTATACTGACGATAACGATGAAACTTAGGCTTCCTGGTGATATCCGAAGAAGCTCACAGTCACATGACCATGATTTGCCACGCATCTAATCAATCTGCTTCTCAATTAGAATTTAGCGCAGACATTAGAACTAGTTCTAGCGAGGGCTGGATTCCAGGTGCACGTTCGCCCGCGGTAATGCTTCATCAAGATTGGCACAAGAAAGGATCTATGTTTGGCCACAGTGGCAGAATCACCTGCACACCATTCCTTAGCAAGCCGAAGTTGCCTAGGTGTTATCCAATGTACATCAATAAGCATGAAGAAAAGTCTGTATTTGGTCTGGCAGCATGCATGCTCTTGCGTGCTCCCCAGGAAGAACTTGCTATCTGATTCGAGATATTTCTGTACCTTATGCGGACAGAGAAAAGCAATGTGAAATTTGTCAAGACGTGGGAGATCCACATGGCTTGCTGTTCACTACTTCACAACTCACAGATACAAATTGCGTATAAGTCCCACGCACAATCAAGCCAATCACTTCTTTATATTCCTTGAAGCAAAAAGCTCGACTTCTGCTGCTATCGACCCTTACAGGTTCCATCTCGAGCACCAAGATTGTTGATGGTCATGGACGATGCAACAAAACCGATCCTATCGTTCTCACATTTCTCACGCGAACCGGTCTGGAGCGCCGTCCTACGAAGAAGAATTTGTGAATCCGAATTTCTCTGGAATTGATACGTTCAACATACTGGGTGAACTATCATTAACCTCGCCAACGTCACTAAATGGAGAATTACAACATCCATTCATACATGATTCAAACCAAAATTCTCACGCGACAAACGAGTCAGCTCATGGACAAGACTTTTTTCATCATGGTGATGCATCAAGTAATCTGAGCTTGCCTCCTGGTGAGTTTTGCTTACCCATTCCACGTGAGCTTGCTAGCATCATTTACCGTCTCATATTTCATCAGAATTGGGCTTAAGCACGCGACTTGATGACTTTCAAGAAGTGTTGATGCAATGCAGTAGTGACAAACAAGCTTAAAATTTCCAACATACGGGGTAGAAGCAAACGCCATGAAATTGGCTCAATTTTCGTCACGCAATTTCACGTGATGGACACTCGTCTTTGGCATTTGCCGTCTGCGTTTTTTGTCCGATTTGATCCAGTTGCAATGGTCTGACGATTTGACGATTTCCAGAAACATATTTTCGACAGAACGATACCTTTTGGAAGACTCTCACTGTTGCTCCCGACCAGCAAGTCCCACATCCACCGCTAACAGACAGCTCGTTGAGTTTTCTACCTCTGTTCCCTTCAAGTCAGGACATAGAACAGCAGGATGCGTTGTCTCACACGGAGCTGTACAACTATCCTCCTCCGTCCCACATTCCGTACGCGGAGAGTACAGCATCCGCTGCATCTTACAATCTGAGTCCAGCCGAAGACGAATCGTCACCGAAGCCCGCCCTTGATGAGGAGAAACGACGGCGTAATCTTGCAGCGAGCGCCAGGTTCAGACAAAAGAAGAAGTTGCATGAGCAACGTTTAGAGCAGCATACCAAGGAGCTTCGTGATAAAGCCAACAAACTTGAAGAGAGAGTTGCTCACTTAGAAAAGGAAAATGCTTTTTTGAAGGCTCTGTTGACTGACAAGGAGATAGACAATAGCTTGCAAGGTCGAAAAACATTTTATGAATATGCTACTCTAATTGCTGAGGGCGAGTTGTAGCAATCTCGAGTACCGAATAGAACAGCAAATTGGTCATCCAATCCTCGACCTGGATATTCTCCGAAGGAATGGCCTACTGACAGCAATTAATTGTTGTCCGTGCTGATATTCTTGCAACAAAACAGGAGATATATATTTCTCTTATTTTGGTGCCAGTTCAGAATGACAAATTAGACGAAGGCAAGACCAGATTGAAACACTTCAGTCAAATATAAAGACTACAATTCTTCAGTTAGAGTCTCCATCTAACATAATCATGGATTACCGTGTCAGATGTATTTTCTCATGAATCAGAGACTTTAAATTGCAATATTCAATATAGTAGGATTTTTATTTTACCCTTTATCACCAAAGAATATGCAGGAGACAGCCAAAATGAATCTTTTCTAAGGGACCAATATAAAGTCGTTATTTAATGCTGCAGAAATCATTTACAATGATTCAAGCAGCAGTGGCAACCTCAGAGTTCGCCGACAAGCCTTTTACACTCAGTGTTTGCTCTTCTTCCTTGCGTCTCTTCTCTTGTAGTGCTTGATAATTTCTGTTCATTGCATTTCGAGTGAACTCTTCTCCCGTCACAAGTGGGTATTTTTTCAATGGACCTTGAATTTTCGCGGTTTTCAGTGGCTGGTTGAAGAAGGCAATGCTATATCTCTCGCCATAATAATCGTCTGGTTCACATGGAGCTTTAACACGATGAAAAGTAGATTTGAAGCGGTCGTCGGACCAACTCATCAACTGATCACCAATATTGCAGACTACAAAAAGTAAGCAAATACTGCAAAGACCAAAAAGAAGTGAAGAAGCTCACTGATTGCATTCTTCTCCACATTAGGCTCTACTTTAGTCCATGTATCACCATAAGCAAAAGCAGTCGATACGCTTCGACCAGGACATATTTCGAGCCCAGACTGGCCAGCTTTTTGGAACAATAGGGTTATCTGACTTAGTTAGCGAGCTGTATTAGAGCAAAACAGATAAAAAAAAATGCATACAAAATCCCAGTCGCAGTGAGCTCCTGCGCGGTGATAGACTTCCCCATTTGGATTCGGAACCCGAGGGGTTTCGAAATAATGTAGTAACCTACAGACTGACTGCGAGTCTGGTTGGCGGATGTCATGTGCTTTGATAAAATAGTCATCTTCGAATCCCAAGCCGCGTGCGAAACAGATCATCAGCTTCTCGCTGACGGATTGCACTTGGTACATAAAGTTAAGCGCTTCTTCTTTAAATCCAGGTAAAATCGCTTCATCAATCCATCGACCTGATCATGGTTAGCAGCTGTATTTCAGGTCAGCGCTAATATGTTCACCATTCATTCCCTCGCCGAATTGCATTTGGTATGACTCCTTTCGATCAACTGCCCCAGTTGAGGGGCGTATCTGAGCGTTCTTCTCCCAGCCCGCATTCTCTGTTGATGAAAACGGGACTGTAGCTTTCACTTCGTCTGGCTGATTGAAGAAGCGTGCGGATTGCTCAAACATATTGTCCACCGTTGATCTTGAGATTCCATGGTCTACGATACAAAAGAACCCAACGTTCTCGGCTGCGTCGACAAGCTCCTTGGTAATCTCGTCTGTTCGAGCCTCGAAGTCGCGCAAAGATATCTCAGGTATCACACGGTCAACGTACTTGGTGGGTGCCATCGCTAATGCCTTGATATCCAGTTGCTGATCTGCAATTTTCCTTATGCAAACGTCCTTATGTTAGTCCAGGTCCTTGATTTTGTATTGGGATATCTAGATGGCTCACCCGTTCTTATATACGCCCATCTTGATAAGTTGTTGAGTTGATTGAGAATTGAGGAACAATGGCACGACGTTTCCATCGACGGGAAGCGACGGCCGAGATTGACGGCCGCGTGAATAAAGTTCTCGACCATGGTGACATTTTACAATTCAGTGAGACACGGATCATGCAAAAAGAGCACAGGGCAAAGATCCTCGTAGGCAGCACGATGTTTGATAGCACAATTGATCTGATTGGTCGTAGCGGAGCTGCGGCCGTGAGCTCGGCCGCATCTCGGATTCGATTGCATGTTGCATTGCCGCAAAATTTCGACAACGCCTGAAAAGTAACGCCGTCGGCCGCAACCGAAGAAAGTATCATGCCTCAAGAAACGATCAGGAGTCAACTCAGCCCGTGATTAGCCTCCTGGAAGGTATTAGCACACAATTGTTGTAGAGGAACCTTTCTTCAGAAACGGTGTGACATCAATCTGTTCCCGGCGTATTGATGGAACGAGCCGGGAACGAGGCAAAATGGAGGAAGAATCAAGCATTTCGAAATCTCAAAGAGCTAGGTTGACTTGCTCTGAATGTTATCGACGCAAGATCAAATGCGATAAAAATATTCCGTGCGGAACTTGCATCAAGCGGTACGTTCCGCTGATAAATAGTGTTTGATGATTTGGCTGAAGAGAAAAAGAGGTCTCAGCGATCTATGCAAACGTGAAGAACAAGTAAGCTCCGGTCAAAACGCCTTGGCCCACCCGTCTCGAAACGAACAACGTCCCCATGGCGACCTAGTAAGAACTCTGCTTGACCGAGTGTCTCAATTAGAGGCAAAACTGGACCAAGGAAAGGAACCAACACGTGTCAAAACACTTGGAATGGAAATTGACCATATAAGTAGCCCATTCCTCCCAGCCAACGCTCATAGACAACATTCCAATCGTAATGTAATTTCGACTTCAAAAGACACCGAAAACACGGAAGGAGACGAAATTACAGTCCTTGAATTTCTTGCCTGGGGTCGAAAGAAAAATGCAGACTTTGGCGATTCGCCTGAGGATGCTAATGGACCGAGAAAACAGAGTGTTGGGCTGGATTCTTCTTCCATCACAACTGATTTTATGTCAGCAAACATCCGCAACGTTCAATTGGATATGCTCGAGGCACTGCTGCCTGCAAGCGAACATATCAAGCAACTTGTTGAGTATCACAACAAGTGTCTGTTATGGTATCATGGATCGTACTCATCGAAGACTATGAACGACGATCTTCATACTTTTTTCACGGAATATTCCGGCAGCCCTAGGCATGAGGATTTGAACCTGCAATGGCTTGCTCTGCTTTTCGCTATATTATGCTGCAGTATCACTTGTTCCTCTCCACGAACATGTCGGTCTTGGGGGTTTTCCAACGCAGAACGGAATTCACTTTCCTTGAAATGGTATGAAGCTACTGTCACTTGCCTAAATATGGCTCGATATATCGAAGTACATTCAATCTACTCGGTACAAGCTATATCTACTTTAACCATCTCTGCTCACATCCTTGGTTTATCAAACAGTCAATCTGTACTTCTAAGCTCTGCTGGTCGAATTGCTCAGAGCTTAGGCCTACATCGGCTTGGCTCAGAAACGGAGTCAGCCAGTAGTACAAGGGATCAATTACGCAAGCGCGAAAGCGCAAGGCGTGTTTTCATTCAACTTTGCATACAAGACTGGTTCAGTATCCCTTTCTCAGACTCATATGCTCTCGATCCAAGATACTGGAACACGGTCAAACCCTTAAATTGCAATGATGAGGACATGTCCCCACAACCACAGTCAATACCCACCGACGCAAGCTACTGTAATTACCGCTACGACATTGCTGCGCTTATGCCGCAGCTGCTTGATGCTGTCTCAAATTGTAATACTCTATTCACAAAGTATGAAAAAGTATTGGAATTCGATGAGAAAATGCGAAAACTTGTCACGGCATATATGCCGACTTTCCTCTCTACGGGTGCCCCAGTTGCCTCTTCGTGGCCCCCCTTTGTGAGTTGGGCTCGGCGCTCACTCACGATATGTGCTGCACATAAGATCATCATGATGTAAGATTTCTGATTTGCAGAAGTCCACCGTACTAACTATACACAGCCATCGGAAATTTTTGGGGCTCTCTTTCACGAACTCAGCGTTCTCTTTTACACGTAGAACTTGTCTAGCAGCTTCGAAAACGATCATGAAAGAAGCTTTGTCTGCTGTTGATGAGAATGGACCAATACTATGGATCGAGCAGGCATTTACAGTCGCAGCATGCATAATCTTCAGCCTTGACGCATTCCATCGGAACCCAAACGAAAACGAATACGAAGAACATAGAAAATATGTTTCAGACGGAATTACGTATTTGAAACGATTTGAGAACAGCAAAATTGCGACACGCGGTGTTCAGCTCTTATCCTCACTGCAACAAGCTCTTGAGGTTGGTCGAAAACGTCCAAGAGACGAAGACACAGAAGACCCCTGCCCGGCCGAGAAACGAGTAAAGTTCGACATTAAAGAATTTATCAAGCAGGTGTCTCAGAATCTGCAAGTCACCACGCCAGCAGCCACCCCAATAGCAGAACAAATGGAGAGTGCTGCGGAGATAGCATGGGATAACATATATGACCTTCTGCCACCTGGAGCTGGATTTGGCGGTCAAAATCTATTCGATGATTTCTTTGCATTTCACCCATAGAAATGAGAGAATTACCTGGATACCGAATTTGGAGCTGTCGATTACAAGCTATTACATGCTATACATATCTTGAAATTCAGATATATCTAAGTTCCATATGGTTTCTTGCTCTGATTTGACTGCGATCTCGAATCCCTGCGATCGAGGCTTTCGCGCGTTGAACGATCTGTTCTTCATCAATATGCTGAAGACGCTGATGTTTTACTAGGATCTGTCCGTCCACCATGACAATATCGATATCTACACCTGATCCGTGAATAATTGTCGTCACTGGATCAACACCTCCAGAAGGAATTTGAGCGGCGTCCCACGGTACAGATCCGATACCTTTCGGGGATATAACGACAATATCAGCCTTCTTTCCAACCTCAAGACTACCTATCTCATTTTCGAGGCTGAGTGCTCGGGCTCCATTGATAGTTGCCATCTCCAACACCTGGTAAGCACTGATGACCCCGGCCTGCTCACGGGCTCCTGAGTGGACAATTGATGCCAAATGCATCTCACGCAGCATGTCGTATGTATTATTACACGGCGCCCCATCTGTTCCAAGAGATACATTCACCCCTGCTGCGAGCATATCGGGAATAGGTGCTATCCCCGATCCCAGCTTCAGGTTGCTCGTTGGATTGTGCGATACTGTGCTCCTGCTTTTTCTAAGTATCTCAAAATCACCAGCCACCGGATCTGGGTGAACAACATGCGCGAACACGCTTTTTGCACTCGTGAGCTTGGCTTCTGCACAGAACTGGAATGGGCTGCATTGGTAGTATTCACGATAAATCATAAGATCCTTTGGTGCCTCAGCGCAGTGCATAGTCAACCCGATATTGTGTTCATGGGCTGCCCGTCCAATCGCTGAATGAGCCGAAATTGGCGAACCTCGCGGTGTGCCAGCTGCAAGCCACATGTGTAGTCGCCCATCAGCGCGATTGTGAAACCGGTGATATGCATCTATTGCAGAGTCAAGGCTCATAGATGAAACATCACGATCTCTTGCATCCCTGAGTTTAAGACTATCGTTGCTTTCTTCACATTTGACTAGTTTACCCTATTTGTACTAAATTAGTTGATACTCATTTCTTGCCATCGGTTTAAGTGTTCAGGTACTCATTAATCCTTGGAAATGGCAGAAGTTTGAATGAGTAGCAAACATACCAAGCAGGCCCTGATTCCAGTCTCTTCTACAGCCCTTACTACGTTCTCCAAACCACTACGATATGTAAGCATTGCCTCCAGGAAGCAGGTTGTCCCAGTCTTGAGCATCTCCGCAATTGTCGCCAGGGCCGCAACATATCCGTCTTCTTTCGCGTAGTTTGCTTCAAGTGGCCAAATTGCATCGCACAACCAGTCATGCAGTGACAAGTCTTCGGCAAGTCCTCTGAGCAGTGATTGTGCGAGATGCGCGTGCGTATTTATGAGTCCAGGAATAATAATCTTATTCAGACAATTTATGATTTCCACATTTTCCGCTTGATCCTCTCGAGTTTGTGCAAGCAATATGTCCGTTTTGTCGATTCTCGCAATGCGACCATTTTTGACCAGGAGTGCGCCGTCAAGAATCACCTCGCGATCTCGATTAACGGTGACAATGGTTGCATGGACGAAAAGCTGAGCTGATCTAACCGTTGAAATCTTGGACATGACTGGAATCTTCAAGAAGATTAATTTGATCCAAAATAACACTTTATCCAGTGTTTCATCTTGAGTTTATGAGTTGACGGTGATTTATGAGTTTTTGGATTATCTGATGTGAGAGCAAGACGCAGACTATGCCGAGTATCGCACACCCTGCAGTTCACCAATTACTTCAGCCCTGCCTGCGGCCGAGATTGCGGATGAGAGTGTCGCCTATCCAGTGCGTCTGATTGGTCAACTGCAACCAAAAAGGGCTATCAGTTACAAAGCATTGATCCTCGATTGAGCACACGCTATCATTTGGCACTAAGAATTATCATAGAATTATGATGTGAAGCATATATAAGTTGAAGGATCAGGAATGCCATCTCCGCGACTGTATAGACCTCAAAATTGATTAATTGTCAATCTCACCGAAATGTCACAAATCGAAGAAGCATCCATTGTAAATAACAAAAATCTCGACATTAATACAAAAAGCACCGAGGAGACTGGATCATCTTCCGCTTCAATTGGCCATGGCAATGTCGGAGAAAGTTGGCAAGATACGTTGGCGGAACTCAAGCACACCTTTCTAACAAAAGATGGATGGATTGGTAATTATGTCAGCAGCGCTACTCCGAACGTGCTAGCGGCCCTGCAACTAATGTGTTCTAGGATTACCTGTACCTCGTCACACCAAACATCTGGCCGTTGAACAGGAAGTATAAAGACTACAAAGCACCGTTTTATGGCCTCAATGATCGGGTGCCAATTCTTTTGACTATATTACTTGGACTTCAACATGCTTTAACAATGATTGGATCCATTGTTTCGCCTCCGTTGGCTATTGCAGGTGGTGCATTCAATTTCGATTCAGAAATCACAGCTTATATGGTTTCCACGGCGTTCATTACAACCGGTATAGCCACTGCACTGCAAGTGACACGACTGCATATCAGCAAAACGAGCTTCTACATTGGAACCGGTATGCTGAGTGTGGTTGGGCCAACATTTGACATTCTTCCAGTTGTTTTTAATTATGCCGCACTCAAGTATAAGTCTGGACAATGCCCAGTTGCAGAAGACGCCACACAAGAAGCCTGTCCCGATGCGTGGGGAGCTGTGTTGGGAACTATGCTTTGCTGTGTTTGGATTCAAATAGCAATGGCATTTGTTCCTCCGCGGGTTCTCAATCGTATCTTCCCAAAATTAGTTACTGGCACGCTATTAACACTAGTCGGTGCATATCTGGTTGGTAATGGATTGCAAAATTGGGGTGGAAGCTCAAATTGCCATAATGGAACGGGTCTCTATGCTCTTTGTCCTAACATAGCATCACCGAAGCCTCTGCCCTGGGGGTAGGTTCATCTGCCCTGATACTTTCAAATAAGTTGTTTTGATTGGATTCCACTAATGGTATGTAGATCTCCAAAGTTGATAGGACTTGGATTCAGTGTTTTCGCCACAATCATTGTGACTGAGATCTTCGGTGCACCTCTAATGAGGTCGGCATCTGTTGTCATCGGCCTTGGAGTTGGATGTGCCATCTCTAGTGCCACAGGCTATTGGGACATCTCTAAGATTAAGCAAGCACCTGGTGGAACGTTTCCATGGGTCCATACATTCAAGCTTTCTGTTGATGGCATACTCGTCCTGCCACTTTTGATCCTGTTTGCATGTCAAGCAGTCAGTTGGTGAGCTAACAAGCTATTGAGGCAAGTTCGTGGAATACTGACAATTATGGCGTTAGTATTCCCGATATACTAGCTACTGCCGAAATCAGCGATCTATCGATTGAGGGAACTGAATTCAATTCTCGTGTTCAAGGAGGAATTCTTTGCGATGGACTAGGAAGTTTCGTGTCAGCGCTTGCTACTGGTCCGCCCATGGGTACGAAATGTTTATTGAATAATTATTCTCAAGTTATTCTAATCGTTTCTTTAGTTAGCCAAGCTGGTAATAATGGAACTATTGTCCTCACTGGCTGCGCTAGCAGACGTGCAGGCTGGGCTGCGTCTGCCATCTTGGTCTTAATGGGGATCATTGCGAAATTTGGAGCTGTTTTCGCCTCAATGCCACCATCCGTGCTAGGGTGAGTATATATTACTATGCCCCAAGTTCGAACGCATAATAACAACCTTCTTAGGGGTATGCAAGTTTTTCTCTACTCCACAATTGCGGTGGCAGGAATCAGAGTTCTTGCCTTGATAACCTGGACCCGCCGCGACCGTTTTATCCTAACTGTTTCCCTCGGCATTGGTTTGATGGATATTACGCAAAGCGATTGGTTCAGTTCGATCTTGGCATATAATGGCTCAAATCAAGCTTTGGTTGGGTTTGAGCAAGGTATTAATTTGATTGTCACAACGCCATTCGTGATTGCTTGCTTTGTCGGAGTATTCCTCAACCTGGTTCTTCCCAAAGAGAAGAGCGAAATTCATGAAAAGACGCAGGTATTTCATAATAACGAGTTGAAGTAATAAATCACTTGAGGCTTGGTATAATATCGCCAGTAGTGTCATATTGACTTGGATGATGAAAGATTAATAGCACAGGAAGCATCCGTTGATATTCAAATTACTTTAATTGAAACTAGTAACTTATCGAAAAGACTTGCAACCAAGGAGTAAAAAGGTAAGTCTGATTGGCTATCCATCCAAAAGGCCTTATTTCGAAAAGAGTGCGGAGGCGATCTTTACCATACTCGTTGTGGAATTGCAGGGGTGGAAACCATATATAATATATTACTGTCATAGTTTTGGTTATTACCTCATTGTTTGAACGAAAGACTTAGTTGGCTTTCTGGGAAAGCAAGAATAGCAGCATATTTACAAGGCCCTCATCTTGGAAAACTCGGTGTCAACAACCACACAGACCGCAGAAAAAAGTTGTATCTTAAGTTAAGAGCTTCTTCACTCCAACACTTAAATAGAAATGAGGAATTCTGTGCCTTTTTCGGCATCTCGGATATACCAGGACCAGCTCGCCGCATGCTCCACCAAACTACGTTACTTTTAAGCTCGAGCCATGACTTAGCTTGAAGCTTGCTGCACATCTCAGTCGCATACGAACTAGCTTATCTTATCTGCATCCCCCCTCTCTAGCCGCACACATAATCACTCCGAGTTGCTGGGCAACTTCTCCATCCTGCCGGGAAAACTGCGTGATAAACAAGCATTAACCCTGGCTTTGCCACGGGAGGAAAATGCACGTCGATCTGCAAAGTAGCATTCTGGCTACTCCCTTTGCACATTCTAGCGTGAAGAGGTGCATAAATGAAGCTTGATCGCACATTTAGGGAAAGATCGTGTTCGTCGTGCTCTCTCTTTTACTATCAACCGTAACACTAAATATGGCACAAGAAAAGAAGCCAGAATATGACACTGGAGCTAATGCAGTTAGGGTCGATAGCTTTTCCATATCGGCCGGAGAGCTGAGTGGCCTGCACAGAAGGCTATCAAACAGGCAAATTCAATGGATTGCAATTGGAGGCTCCATTGGCACGGCCTTATTTGTTTCTATTGCTTGGGGCTTAGTCGAAGGAGGTCCAGGAAGTCTATTCATTTCATTTACACTATACAGCTGCATGATGGCCCTTGTCAACAGCACCATGGCAGAAATGGCGGTTTTCATGCCAGTTTCTGGTGGTTTTGTTCGCCAAGCAGCTCACTGGGTCGATGAAGCATATGGATTCACAGTGGGATGGAATTTCTATCTTTACGAAGCTATTCTAATTCCTTTCGAAATTTCTGCTCTCAAGTAGGTACGCTTGCCTTGAATAAGACAAGAAAATTAACATGTCTACCACAGCATTGTTTTGACATATTGGTCCGACAATATTCCCTCGTATGCAATTGTTATTGCTTGTATAGTACTTTACGGTATAATTAACGCATTTGCTGTTCGTTGGTATGGAGAGGCAGAATTTTGGCTGGCCTCTGGAAAGGTTATCCTCATATTCATGTTATTCGCGTACGTAAGTTTCAAGTTATCATGCAAAATACTAAACTCCAAAGGTTCACCTTCATCACCATGGTTGGTGGAAATCCAAAAGGTGATGCGTACGGCTTTCGATATTGGCGTGATCCTGGCAGTTTCGCTACCTATGTCACTAATGGAACCCTCGGTCGCTTCGAGGGATTTCTCGGCGCTTTCTATCAGGCATCCTTTACTATTGTTGGCCCAGAATATGTTTCAATGGTTGCAGGAGAGGCTATCTATCCTCGGAAGACAATCAAACAAGCATTTAAAACAATGTATTGGTGAGTTGTTGATCAGTTGAGACTCCTTTTGCACTGTGCCAATAAAAATTACTTGAATATTGCAATATGCTTTACGCTTACGAAATTGTAGTCGTCAGAGTATTGCTAACAACTTCAAGGAGATTTGGTATCTTTTTCATTCTTGGCGCCCTTTGCGTTGGCATTGTGCTACCTTATAATGACCCCAGGTTAAATGAACTTCTTGGAAACGGAAATACAGGCACGGCATCAGCCTCGCCGTACGTCATTGCAATTCAAAATCTGGGAATCACGGTTCTACCTGATATCACAAACGCACTTATGGTAACCAGCATCTTCTCTGCAGGTAACTCATATGTTTATTGCGCCTCGCGTACATTATATGGTCTCGCTTTGGATGGACATGCACCGAAGTTTTTCCGAAAGACTACCAGGAGTGGTATTCCTATATACTGCTTCATCTTTACGATGGTTTTTCCATGCCTCGCGCTATTATCTGTTAATAACGGCGCCAGCCAGGGACTTAAATGGCTCGCAAATCTTACGCAGGCAAGCCAGGTCCTGGATTATTGTTTCATGTGCATCACATACTTGTTTTTCTGGAGAGCTCTGAAAGCGCAGGGAATTGACCGAAATACTTTACCATGTAAGTATCTTCACAGATCTCTGAATAACAAAACAACTGATCGTTCATAGACAAAGGATGGGGCCAGCCCTACGTTGCAATTCTCGGACTGACATTTATGATTCTCACTGTAGTATGTATTTTACGCAAAGTTCTATGATTGGTGGTGTTCTAAGATTTTGTAGAGTTTTAATGTTTGAGTTTTGCGCATATATGCACATTGGCCGGGCTATTGTGATTTTAAAAATACTTGCCCTCGAAATAATTCGACTTAAAATCTTTGGGCTTTTTGAAGGGAGTTTAGTCGGTCTTCGATGACAGAAAAAAAAATTTGATCAGGCATTTGATAGAATTGCTGATACGGACAGGTGGCCACTTATGGATATACAGTATTTTTACCTGGATGGTGGAGTAAGTTCTATCATAAAGTATACTTGAGCCTCCTTCTGCAAAGTTTGATCGTTTCTGAGTACTTGAGAAAGAGCAGTCTTTTCAGCAGGATGCCCCTCGGAAAATCTTTGCAAACGCAACGATACCAGTGCCTAGTTTTTATGAGCGGTGCTAATATTTTGCAGATGTTGGAACTTTCTTTACCTACTATGTAAGTCATAGCACAGGTCCTGCTACATGGCCTTTCTGAGCACATTTCAGCTTTGTTGCGCTTGTTAACTTTTCATTCAACGTAGACGATGGTGTTCGTTTGCGCAGTTCTTTTCCCATTCTGGAAAATACTTAAGAGAACAAAATTTATAAAGGCCGAAGACATGGATCTTGTGTGGTGGTAAGACTATTTAGTAATTCTTATGCTCCAGTTACTAAAGAACAAGTAGAGTGCATTTCTTAAGGCTCCTATTGATTCACCCACGAACGGAGCTACTTCCAAACGAAAAACTTATCTTCCGCTGGTATAATTTCCAACTTGTCTAAGAGGGGTTGACTGTCTTTTCGTGGATCCGTCTCTGTGAACTAGTGGACCCCTAATCCATTAGCCACTATGATGTGTGGTAAATCTTGAGGAATTCATTTCGTTTTGGTATAGGAGAAAGTACCTTCGCAAGATACCTCCGTGTTGTTGATGGCCCTTTAAGCCTGCAAATTCTTTGGTTTCTCATATATGGACAACAAAGCAGGCATAACTAATGTTTCTTTTTTTTTTTAAAAAAAAAAAAAATTGGTGCTGACACTGCTTAGGGAGGGACCGGCGATATCTGAGTACGAGGCAAGCATTGATCCGCCACTAGGCTTGTGGGAAGATCTGGGGCAATATCTTGGGATCCGGATTAAAAAGAAAGCAGGAACCGAGCAGAGTGCTTAATTAAATTCAGAGTCGAAGATAGAAGATAATTCCAGAATAGATAGGAAGATCAGCAGCAGCTGCACAACCAACTTTCATAAAGCCTCTTGTTCCATTGTTTTGTACGGCTCGTCAAATGCACGTGAACATTGATACTACAATGTCATCCAATCACTAAGCCCTAATATTAAGATACTACTGTTTAATTGAGAATTTCTGAGACTCATCTGAACTTCCTCCTGAAGCTACATGAAGAACACGTCTTGAACTGTAAGCTGCCACAGATACTTAAGTTCTCCATTGACTGAAAAGCAAACTATTCAAGCCCTAGGATAGTCAAAGAAAATTATTGTCTAGAAAGGGCTGTCCAGCCCAGCGCGAGGCTCTAATATTGCTTCGGAAGTACTCGATAAACAAAATTCGAGGGTTGAAAGACACAGGCTGTCGCAAGACAACTTCGACTGACGGAAGACTCCCCTTGATAGTTGATGGTGTTACATATTCTAGTTCAATAGGAAAATATATTCCAGCTGAGTTAGGCGTATATATCTCCTTGAGCTAGAATATATTGTTTCTTTGGTTGGATCCATCTTGCTAAAAGTTGTAATATAATGGAAAATAATCATAACACTGCGTGGATTTTGAGCATAGAGAAGGTATCGCTGTATCAGAACGGTGTGTTCACCAGGTCATACAACCCCTGGACAAATAGCTCTTCTGCAGCTAACCCGTACAACTACAAATCCAATTGTGCTATTATGTAAATCCAATGGACATAACGTTTTCTGGAAGGGTTTTGCGGATGCTTCAGTATAAGCAAAAATGCCGCCATAAGCACAAAGAATTCCCGGCTGTGATAAAAAAAGAAAAGCAAGAACTACCTAGAGTTAGAGCACAAAATCTTCGTTTCAATGCGTTAGTCCCGTAATTCAATTAAAATAATGGTATTTCAACAGTTAGGAGCCATGTTCCTTATTTTTCTCTCCTTCCACAGCTGATGCATTTGCATTTTCCCCTTCGACGCCTTGTACAAGTCTTATCACATTCCCTGCTTCTGGTCCTGTGAAATATCTGTGGCCTGTGGTAACCCAGGTTATGATGCTAATAAGCATGATAACACCAATTGCTGCGGGCGTATAGTTCATTGTGTCGCTATTTACTGGTTTAATTGTTGGAAAATTGAAAATCGTTCCGTTGAAAACTAAAAAGACAAAGCCAAGGAGATTAAGTGGAATTCCCCAGCGACCAAGACTATATGGTCCACCTAGTCCAGCTGAATGAGATGGATCGCTCGGGTTAGTGACGCGTGAGAGCAACCTGGCGAGCAATGGCATCGCGTATGATATATCTAAAATATTGGTCAGATCATCCTTGTTAAATAGCCTAGCAACTTACAAAACCCGAAGGTAGCGACAGTGATAACTTGCTTCCGCGTTAACAGACAGCCTAGAAGTGGGCAACACGACGTTAAAAACCAACCTGTATTGAACCCAGTCAAATTCCCGAAGTAGATGCTATTAAAAGCAATTTGCACCGTGGTTGTGAGCATAAGAGCAAAGACAGGAACTTTTTTCTTCCTCTCAACCGTGCTCCAGATGTTGGAGAATGGAAGGCCATGGTCACGGGCAAATGCAAAAACGGCGCGGCCACCTTCAGCCATCAAGCTGTTGGCGCATACCAGAACTATGACAGTTATCAGGCTCGTTAACGCGCATGCTCCCCTTACTGATCCTGTTGAATCGTAGAATATTTGAATCAAAGGAACACCAGTAGAAGATGTAGCGGTCGATTCCAGATCTCCAATGCAGAAGCATACAGCGACCAAGAAGCAAAATCCTGTGATCGCACCAAGGTAAACTGACATCACGATTGCGCGTGGAGCGGATTTTCGCGCCTGTTTCATTTCTTCGACCATATGGCTCGGAGCATCGTAACAGCACATGCCAAATGCGCTTTGAACGATTCCGAGAATGGCTGTGTATGATGAACTAAAGCCAGTGAAGTTTTGAAAGTCGCTGAACACAAATGATGCAGATTGCTTGTTGTCATTACAGGCAAGAATTGTAATGATGACAACGAAGAAAGATACTATGTTCCAGACTAGGATGAATCGCGAGAGACGATCCAGGAACTTTGTGAGGAATATATTTGAGGTCATTGCAAGGAAAGCAATTAGATAGGTGACAAGTACCGTGTGCCAACCTAATGCACTAAGTCTGGAAGAATTTGATCTAGGATAACTAACAAATTACTTACGTTCAATAACATAATCAGGATTGGCAAGATTGGCCATACCAAGGATGAAGTTGGCCCCGATAAAGTTATTCGTCGCGCCTAGAGTTACTCAGCATGGGAAAACATCATCATGGCCTCAACATACCCATCGCGAGAATCCCAATTAACATGAACCAGCCGCTAATGTAACTCATGCCGCGTGCGATGCGCTTTGGTGCCAACACGGCGACCCAACTGTACTGGCCTCCCGCCACTGGATACGCGCTGCACCTATAACCTAATTCAGAACGAGCTCTAAAATATGCTCTTCAATCCGGCTACGGACGGGGCTTCCATTCTCATGCTTGATGAACACGGAATGACTCTCTTTCACCCTCGTGGTTAAAAAAAGGTTAAATTGTGCGGACCTACATTTCGGCAAGGGAATATGCAACAGCAAGTGTAACTGCGCAGATACCTAGCCAACTCCATATCATCACAGGAGGTCCACCAGACTCAACACCAATAATAAGTACGCCGGACAGCGCCGTCCAGCAAGTTACGATGCTGAAAGAAAATCCAATCATCCCAAGAAGCCCAAATGATCGTTTGAACTCGGCGTGATAGCCCAATGCCTCAAGCAGAGCATCTTCCGACGTATCTTGGTCGAAGGTATCCTTGTCTTTTGGCTCGATCGAATTCGAAGATTGCTCCATATTGCAAGAAACAGCACGTCAGATCGCGCCTGGACCTGGTTTTCAAGATGCCGTAAAGGTAGACAAAAGATGGGCAAGTAGAAAGTCGCAAAGCGATTGGCTTCGAAAGGAGAAAATGAAATCATCTTTGAACGGCATCTTTATAAGGCAGACGGACATCCGATCAACCTTCCGCGATGTCTGCTTATGTTGCGGGTTCTGGCAAAGGGCTTCTTGCCCGATAGCAGCAAAGATCTGCGACCTTATCTTCACCCATGTACAGAATGCTTTTTAAGTAACGCTAAGCTCCACCGCAATGTGCAATCAACACTGACGCACGATAATTAGTTAATCTTTTATTTTTCTCACGGCCGAATGTCCGCGATTATCAGCAAAGCTGGGAATGCCTGTTCTGTGAAGTCTCACTATGAATGATCCTAGTGATGGATCTGTGGTTGCTTTTATATAACGGCGACTGCGGATTGCACCTTAACTGACGCGTTTCATGTGCTGAATAAAAGTCGGACCTGCTTGTTCTGATGAACATAAAGACATTAGGGACGTAAATGCTTAGTTTTTTTGTTCGTTATCAAGATATTTACATGCCAATGCATAGTCCTGCGGAGCGTCGTCGTAGCCAACGGTAGCATTATGAGTGAGGTCGAAATTTTTGATGGTTATTTCACTCCAGTCCATCAGGTGCTTGACCTGCGCGCCTGACACCTATATTGTGTCTTGTGTTTGACGCGCTTCTCCTGGATTCCATGCTTGCTCTGCTATGCCTTCTGCTCTCTGCAACTTGCACGTTTAAACCGAGCGTATTAACAGAACTACTCACACCTATTTCGGTGCTCTCGTCTTGATCAGATTCAATCAAGGTTTCCTTCAGAACCTTGAGAGCTTCTTGATCAGCGATCACAGCCTCGCGGGCAGCTTCGACAATTTCTTTGGTCGGTCTATGGATAGCCAATGGTTTGTCAGAGCCCACAGGATAGATTGGCACGCAGCGAAGGCAAGATAGGATGGCGGTCATGAGCTTGTTGCGGCGCGTAAGGCGGAGTTCTTCGTTGGCCCAGTTAGACTACAATATTTGACTTAGCATTATCCGTATTTTATGGATTTAACAAAGCATACCTTATGAGAGACTCCGATGGTCATGTCGATCTGCTTCAAATCCTTGCATTGGGTGATTTGTAATTCAACATCGTTGTGAAAATCTCTCTTGTTCTCATCAAGCGCTAAGAAAGTAGCAAGCTCCATTTTGAAAACTTCAATGTCCGCAAAGCTAGTTTCAGCGTTGACGCTAATATCGATCTGCTCCTTCATCTGCTTGCTGCGAGTTACGTTGTCTATCCAATTGTTGTTGTTGATAATGTTCGGGATCTGGATCATGCGACTGTTATCGACGCGCTTGAAAGTGCTATAGAGTAGAGAAATATGTTCGACGATCATTCGTACATCATTGATCACAACCATGTCACCAACATCGTAAGGATGTTTCACAAAAACGAAGATACAGGAGCCGAGAAATTCCTGTACCGTAGTGGCTATCGCGAAAGAGATTGCCGCAAGCTGAGTCCCAATTGTAAACATGTACTTGGCAAAAGATTCGGAAAAGAAAGCAGCTGGAATCAGTCAGCATAATGGCAAAGCATAAATCGCAGTTCTCTCACCGTAAACGATTCCAAGCAAAATAAGTGCAACCAGGAACAAAAACCGATCCAGGACCCTGACTGCTTGACCAACATCATGCATGCTCGCTGCGATGGCCTTTCGTTCGCGACTTATCTCTAAAGTAGCCATGACCATTTCATCTAAGCTCACATCCCCGTTGTTGTCCTGGTCGAGGAGGTTGAAGATTTCGTTAGCTTCCTCTTTTCGAGCTTCTCCAAGAATCTCCTCAACATCCGATCTGAATAAAGCATCTTTGCCCTCCATGACAAAAGATTGCCATAGGCGTGCACCAAGTGCTCTAGATGATCTCTTCGATTCAAGTGCCTCAACGACCAGATTGTGGATAACACTGCTTTGTTTTGAACGTGCTCCCGTAATCTCACTTGTTATGTTGCCAACAGTCGATTGGAGCAGCTCCGTGTACATAGCTAGTCCTCCAACAACTTTGGTGCTTGATATTTCTTGTTGGGCGGCATCAATACCAGTCATGATTTCAAAATCTTCCCTTTCAAATGGATGTGTGTTGAGCGGAAACATCTTAAGAGACGCCTCAAGCAGGCCATCGAGCATTCTAACCTTTAGCTTAGAGTCGTTAACTCGTGCATTGAACTGCCTCCGGTGATAGTTGACGGTGATGAGCTGGACAATCAGCTTCTGTGCTACGAAAAGCGCAGCGACAGCCACGGAAGCCAGCAGGAACCGCTGGAATGTCCTGACCCATTGTACCCTGTTGTGTTTCTCCTGGTCAAAGACAGTGATCAGAGGTACGGTAAAGTAGCTAACTATGGTCCAAAGCATAAAAGCAATTGGAATTTCCATTGCCTTGATCAATAGTCGATATTTTCGTGTCCCCGAGCTAACGAAGCCAACCAGGAACTGGAATATGAATGGCATTGTCTGAGCGATCGCCTTGGTGAGCCAGAAGGACCACCACATTCTATGAGCAGAGCAGAGTTAGCGATCTCGACACATACTGCACAGAACTACCTATCCAGCCTTGAAATCAAGGCTGCTTAGACTTATATTGTTGCACTTACACTTGAATCCAGATGAAGAGTCCAAGCAATCTAACACCTCCGGCCCGTGCTTCTTTTGCAGCTGTTGCAAAAATAACAAGCGGGATAGCGAGCAAGATCGCAACTGGTACAATGTAGATGATGTTGCGCGTGATGACGTTAAAGTCTCGAATCCGCGTATACATTTTCCCAAGTGTATTGAGAGTGTTTTGCTCCCCGTCATATCCAACTTCTCTTGATGTAGACTTAAGAGGGTCTGTTCTTCTCCGTCCGATATGCATCTTGGTGTCTTCCGCTCCTGGGCTCACAGGTGAGATCTGGACTCGAGCACTCTTCTCGTTCTCGGGAGGCATATCGACCAGGATATCGTGACCCATGCTGAACGAAATAATGTCAGAAAGAGAAAAACGAAAAGGATCTCACGCGAAAGCGTAAATGCGAGACGAGAGGCGAAACCCCATCTTTTGAACATCCGCGTCAGCTATTGCGCAGATGGACATCTTCAGAAAGTCCATCTAGGTGGCTTCGGCTCAGCCGACGACCTAGCTTGGACTGCTTGAGGCTTAGAACAGTCTAGCCTTGATCCATATGAACCTTGCGACGCTTTGCGATTGGGGTAGATATCGGCTAGATCACTGAAAACTGTCACAAAGTCTATGATAAGTCAAACTTTGTTCCAGGGGGTCACGCTACCATGCGAAAGACTCTTCCTGTATGAGACTAGAGTCCATCTCCTTATGGAAGCGATGGAGATGGCTTGGTGCTGGTGGCTTGGCACTTTATCCCCATCGGTTCTGCGGCTGAATCCAAAGGCTCTGGGCTGGATTGTCGAGTTCGAAGGAAAAGAAAAACCTTGAATCAGATTATCACGCAGGTCAATGGCTCTGTAAAGTTATTCTATAAAATAGCTGCGAGGGGAGAGAGGCGTTTTAGTTCTATGCAAATGCAGTTTACTTCTATCCATTTAGTTGATCTTAAGCCAACTCAGACGAAGTCGAGTTCTCTAAACTTCCAAGTCGCTTAAACCATGCAGATAGTCGCTGCTATGATTGGACCAACAAATGTAATGCTGGTTTGGAAATTCGTTGTCCTGCAAACCAACGGCGAGACGGTAGAATCTTTCAGCTGGTACCGAAAATAGCATCTTACAACAGTAGCCGGCGTGATATAGGGAAAGTAGAAAGCAAGGTTCTAGTGGCGAGACTGTTCGAGATTTTGCCGATCTCCCGCGGACGGCGCTGCAACAATTCCCGAGGTTGCTATCCTATTGCACATAAGGAGAAAGCATCTCGATTTCAACAATCCCATGACTTGAATCTTTGAAGAAAAGTCTTGTTAGTCTCTTTGTATGCACTTTTTGTTTTGCTCCTGAGAGGACGGAGACCACTTTCTACGCACTGCGCTTCCCCGCCGTTAGCGATTGCGTGGAACAAGAAGCCAAGTATTGAACGTGAGCGCTCTTCACCTTGAGAAGGATTGATCGAGAATTGAAAATTGAATTCAGGACTCGGTCATCAATGCAAATGAGTGGAGAAAGACCTCACGCCTCCTGCATGATACCGCACTAGGCGCTGATAAAGTCCTTGAGTATTTCCTCGCTCCTGGTATGCGACAGGGAAAAGTGCGTTTCGTCAGGATACAGCGTGAGCTCTGCATTTGGTAATCGGCTCGCCATCCATCTTGCCATCGCAATAGGAGTGTCTTTGTCCGACGTTCCATTCCACAACTTCACTTTCGCATCTATGCTCTTAAGATCAAAAGACCACCTCCCCAGGATCAATTTAACGTCGAGAATATTGCCATCAGAGCCACCGTAACAAGAATCCCTAATCTCTAATATCATCCTTTCAACATCATGTTCGCTCATGAGAGCTTGATCTTCCGCGCTCATTCGCTCAACTATACCCTCGCGCACAATCTTCCTCCACCGGTGTTGACTTGGATCGCGTGCGTGTTTTGCAAGTCCATGCTCATAGATGCCATAAAGGAGCCAGTGCGGCAGCCATTTGTTGATGCAAAAGCCAATCCACCTTTCCCAGCTGAGACCTTTCAACGGCGCCTCTGGAGGAGCCAACCCTGAGATAATACCTGTACCCTTTAACTCACTTTTGGGGATTTCGCGAGCGCACGCCAGGGCAAAGGGTCCTCCACCACTACAGCCGACGACACGGTATTCTTGGAAGCCAAGATGGCCAGCCAATGACTGTATGGTGCTCGGCCAGTCAAGAAGCGTGAAACGTGGGCGAAAAGTCGATAGCCCTATCCCTGGTCGATCTACTCCTATTATACAGATGTTCAGCTTTTCGCAGGCTTCATGCAGATTGTCGACTTCAAGAGAGAGCTTGGCGATCCTTGAAAATAGAAAACCGGCTGGCCGTGTGGCCGTCCTGCTACGTGGTATCCCACAACATGGTGTCCGAGATTATGTTGACAGGGAAGTATAAAAGTGTGAGAACCTAAAGCGAGATAAGATGAGACACGTGACGCAACTTGTAAACTCATTATTGAATGATCCGCGAAGAGAAGCGTTGTTGACATGTGAAACAAAACGGATAGGGTATTGATTTTGTACTGCATTCACCTTCATCAATTTCTCGTATTCGTACTCCGTATCTTTTGACGAAACACGAAAATGAGTCTACTCATTACGAACTTAGTCTAGGGCATGGATACGAGTCACCTCGTTCGGCGCAGAGCAGGATCTTGGAGACTGTTTTCCTTCAAGAATTGTGTAAAAATCAATCCTGAGTTATCCATTATCAACGTTCGTTTGTATCTGCTGTACTTCTGTTCGTAGGCGAAGAGTTGCAACAGACCAAAAATGAATCAATTTAGATAGCTTCGTCGTACGCATTTTTAAGTCCTTCTACATCGAGCTTCTGCATCTTCATCATAGTCTCACTCATAGCAGCTTTTTGCTTTGCAGTGCCGGACTTCATCCACTCACCAAGTTGCTTTGGAACTACTTGCCAGCTGAGCCCAAATTTGTCCTTCATCCAACCACAGGGTCCTGGCTCCCCGCCTTCCCCCAACTGGGTCCAGTAATGATCAACCTCGGCACTGTCCTCGCAGTCGATTATGAAGCTAACTGCCTGATTGAAACTGAACATAGGTGGCCCATTAATGGCAGTGAAAGGAGCACCATCAAGTTCGAATCGAATGAGCATCACAGAACCCTCTGGCATCCGGTGTTTATCCTGACCGACTGAAGTGTAATACTCTATATGATTGATAGATGAGTTTGGGAAGATGGCGGTATAGAAATCAGCCGCTTCCTTCGCTGTTTCAAATATCAGTAAATACTAGCCCATGATGATAAACTTGCTGACCATTGCCTCCGAACCACAAAGATGGCTGAACTTTGAGATTGGCTGGCATTCTGTTGAATATTCGTTCACTTTCTTTTTTGGCAAGTAGTTGGACCTGTTTTCAATTAAACACATAGGTTTGATTTATACCACATAGATCACCAGGCAACCACAGCCACGTTACTGAATTCTGCATCAAAATCATGCAATCATTGGTGCGAGTTGAGTATGAGAGACATACAAAAGCCTATAACGTAGGCTTGATGGCATTCATCGCGATGTCAAGAGGTCGCTAGCCCTTTGTTGCCTCAAATACGAGAATTGGCTGCAGATTAGTGCCTTGGGCCAAGAGGAAAAGCCAGACAACAAAAGCCCGAGGACCCTATGAAGGGAGGGAAACCCCTGATACTAGCGATGTGAAGGGTCTACTGCACCGTCTGAGCCAGACGACAACGCAGAAGAAATATTTTTAAGACTCCATTAACTGAGAGTTGATCGCGATCTCGGATGAGAAGCAGTGCGAGAGCGCTGTTCAATGCTGACCCCCCGAAGCTGCTGTGCAACTCGCTGCGTCGTTTCAAGCTGGGGATATTTGTCAAAATTAGTCGATCCTGCACCCAAAGCATCGAGATGCGTAAAATACTCCGCGCCATGGGACGGCGGCAGAGAGCAAGCCCGGCTGGTAGCCGGCAGCCAGCAGCTGGCAGCTTGCAGCTTGAAGCTCAAAGCTCGGAATGGTCGAACCACCAATAAAGCACCCGCTCCAGCAAGTACATGTACGTTGACTCCAAGGACGGAAGTGGCCAGCGAATTCCATGTTCAACAGCTGGTAGACTGCTTGCTGGTGAAATCGACTTGTCTATTTTCTTGTCCGAATATGCCAATGGGTTCTTCCCTACTCTTGCATTCTCGCCATGCAGGAACCTCAACTTGGTGGTAGCGTTTTCACCTTGGTTTCGGCACCTCAAAACAACGTCAGCAACCAAGACCTTCGCCAAAGCATGCGCCGCGATTGGTCATGTCTAATCTTCGTCTTTGGTTCGCAGATCATTCCATTTTTCCTTGAGTCCAGGCTTTGCTTGTTCGCTTATCTCCTCGAAAATGACCTGTAATTGCCGGCTGGCGACCGTTGAGATCCTCGCGGACATTTTTGTGCGGCCGACTGCTGGATCTAACTATGAGAGCTGTCGCTGGTTCTGTCTTCCGTACCGAACAATCAATCGCAACTTCCTTTCGATGATGAACAAATGTTTTTTGAGAGAGAAGAACAACAATGGCGTGGGATTATCGAGAATCTGCGCATAGAAACCATCGCCGAGCTAGCTATGGCATGCAAAACACTACTTTGCAGACGTCAAAGACGATTGAGCGAGTCTTGTTCACATTTGCTGGAATCGCCCTTTTCAACATGATTGAGCTATTCGTGTACATCGCGTTCCGCTTCAAGTCATGGAAAGGCCTCTACTTCTGGTCGCTAACTGTTTCAACATTTGGCATTCTTCCCTACACAATTGGCTTACTCTTCAAGTTCTTTGGTGTCATCCAAGGCTACCCTCTAGTCATGCTTGCTATCAGCATGATCGACATTGGCTGGCAGATGATGGTGACCGGGCAGTCAGTCGTCTTATACTCCAGACTTCACCTTATATGCCGACGCCGAAAAGTCCAGCGTGCCGTTCTCTGGATGATCATCGCAAACTGGTTCATCAGCAATGTGCCAACGACAGTATTTGTATTTGGTGCATCCAGCCCAAATCCTGACCCATACAACGTCCCTTACGGGGTGTGGGAGCGGCTTCAACTCTGCCTGTACTTTGTGCAAGAGGTCACCATTTCTTGCATATATGGTTATGAGGTTGTGAAGATGATCAAGCCAGATTTCTTCAACAATCAAACAACGAACAGTAGTGGTTCGACGTCGACAAGTCAAGCGAGCTTCGAGCAAAAGATGCGTACGAAGTCGAGCCAACGAATCTTACGACACCTTTTGTGGATTAACATTGTCATCATTGCTCTTGATGTCACGTTACTTATTGTCGAGTTTATCGGACACTATGAAATCCAAGTTCTGTACAAGGGCTTTGTGTATTCGGTCAAACTGAAGATGGAATTTCGAATCTTAAATCAGCTAACCGACATTGCGCAAGTACGACTCCGATCTAGCCAACAGTGTTTCGGGGATGGTCTTGAGATCAGCGGGAAAAATGGCGCAAGCGGCGTCAATTGGGGCTCAATGGGATCTGAAGAAACTGCCAGACCAAATCTTGATCCGACACAAGCTGCCACGGTGCATGCCGGGTCATCCCCACGTCCGGTTGGAGCGCTCTCAGACACGGAGAAAGGCAGCGAAGACGCCACTATCGAGAAAATTGATACTGTTATAGCAAGTCATGGAGCGGCAAGACAAACGTCAGACCCACCTAGAAGGCGCTCATTCGAAACAGAGGGACCTCTTCGCTCAGATAAAAACAGAAGACCACAAACTACGAGGTTTATAAGCTTTAGTTAGACTGAGCAGTTATTACTATAAATAAAGAATAGTTGTATGTTGGGTTTCAATCAGGTTAGCATCATGTTCTATATCTGGGTTAATTTACCGGATTTGATCAGGCTTCGTTTAAGCCCCAGTCTCTCACGCATGTATTCTGCGATGTTGAAATCTGCAACAGCTCTTGGGTCACCTTCTTGGATAGAGAGTGTAGTGATTGTGTAGGTAATAGCGGACCATGACGGATCCATTCTTTGCAACCGCATTGGCCGTTAGAACTAGTAGAGCAAAGTGACTATGTGTCTCCTCCATCGATTTCGACACATCTGTACCAGAGTACGGTGCGAACACAGCTATTGAGATTGGACTAGGTTTCCTCCGTTTTATATCACGGTTTTGCGCATTTCAATCTCAATTTTCTGGCCCAACCAGCTTTTGAAGCTTGAATCACACACGTCTCCGGATTGAAGGCGACGTGTGCATCTGTAGAGTCTTGTTCGGGCGAAACTCATTTGTCCTTAATAGTTTGGGCGGGAGGGAACACTTGTGCTGCTGCTACGGTAGAACTAGATGTGTCTTTCAATTTATTCATGAAATATTCGGTCTAGAAAAATACTAGCTTAACTCACCCTATAATATTCAATGCATCAATCATCGTTATTTTAGCATTAACTTACAGGAGCAATGTTTGCGGAAGCTTGCTTAATGCCTTGTGATATCAACGCCATCATCCGCGGTCATCTGTCATAATATACTCCTTTAAACACAGTACTTACCTCTAAAGCATCTAAAAGCAAACCATGTATTGTCGCTAAGGTTTATCTCAGGGTAGAATCCTAAAAGTGAACGTTTATGTAGAGCTTCTTGTGGTAGGTCTAAGTGATGAATGCAGGTCTGATGAAATATGGCGACAACGTATCCAATCCTCAATTTTAGCTTGCAGTGCTTCGAGTTCACTTGAAACAACTGATTGTGTCAAGTGATGAGACTTCAACAGTGTTTGCAAGCCTGTTGATGTAGTTTAGCTGTTGACTTACTCAACCCCCATGGGAAGATCACAGGCCTCCGCGTTCGGTCGACGTCATGTTTCGGCCAAAACCCTCGAGAGCTCCGCCCACAGCACTTCTGCACCTCCGCACGCGTGCAACACCTCAGCAATTACGAGCAAAATGCTTTAAACCCGAATTAAAGAGATCTAGCCCGTCAATATGACTTACATGTACGATCCGCAACTGGTACGATGCAACCCCGCCACTCCGTGATCTTTGCCACGCATCCCCCACAAATTGCACGTGCTAACTTGCTCCGCGGCTGATGCAGGATGACATTGAGTATTTCCTTCGCGCCCAGGAGGATGAGTCGAAGGTATCTATCCTGGGAGGACCTGCGTTGCCAGCGCTAGGCCATGCAATCTCCGGCGCGACGGGTGCAGCGATATCGAATGTTATCACGTACCCGTTGGCGCTATCCATCACGCGCCTTCAGGTCCAGCGTCAATTCAAAGGCTCATCGTCATCATCCGGCAAAGACGCTGCGACAACTGATGATGAAGAGTACAAATCTATTGCAGATGCTTTTCAGCGGATCTACGCAGAGGAAGGCGGCATTGCGGCCTTCTACTCTGGTTGCACGCAGGATACGCTGAAATCCATGGCTGACTCGTTCCTCTTTTTTCTGGCCTACAATTTCATCCGCAAAGACCGGATGCAAAAGCACGGCGGTGCGAAGAAATTGCCCGTCTATGAGGAACTACTCGTAGGCATGGCTGCAGGTGCTTTCTCTAAGTTCTTTACGACACCCATACAACAGATCGTCACGAGAAAACAAACTGCAGCCATGATTGCAAAACGGTCACCAAACGCATCAGCATCATCGAAGAAACTGAGCACGCGAGATATTGCTATGCAAATTAAGCAGCAGAAGGGTCTTGCAGGCTTCTGGGCGGGCTACTCGGCGTCGCTTGTTCTGACGATTAACCCGTCGCTGACGATGATGTTTCACGGTGCGTTATTACGCCTGCTTGTCAAGCGAGATCGGCGCTCGAACCCAGGTGCGAAGACAACATTTTTGATTGCAGCATTGTCCAAGGCGATGGTTAGTACGATTACATACCCCTTCTCACTTGCAAAAGCACGGGCACAAGTCAGCTCCAAGAAACCGTTGAAAGATGATGAGCACATCTCTACGAAGGAGGATTCGGCAAAGCAGGTTGAGGAAAAGGCGGCGAGGAAACTGAGGAAGGATACAATCTTCGATACGGTACTGCAGATTGCGCGGGACGAGGGCTTAGAGGGCCTCTATCAAGGACTCGGCGGCGAGGTCATGAAGGGCTTCTTTGCGCATGGACTGACCATGCTCATGAAGGAGAGGATCCACACGATCGTCATACAACTGTACTACTGGGTTCTCAAAGCCATTCAAAAGTACCCGTCACCACAGGAACTGAAGGGTCTTGCGAGTAAGACGGCGAATGATGTCAAGGGTGCCGTGGTGGAGACAGCAAGCGATGTTAAAGAGGCAGTTGGTGACGCAGCCAACACCGCCGTGGACAATGGCAAGGCGATCTCAAAACGTGGTCAGGAGGCGCTTCAAAATACTATAGAGTCCTTTGGCGAGATATACAGGAAAGGTAGGGAGGATGCGGCCGATTTTCTTGATGACTATCTTCCTTTCGACGACAACGACTGGTGAGTCAAAGGCCACGAGTTAATTTCGACAATCGGGAGGCAAGACCAAGGTGGTGACTTTGATGACCGTGCTTTTGTATGAGTAGTATACATTTAATGTAACGCGCATCGTTCTGGTTGGCTTTCGTGTTCTCATGCTTTGCTGTCAAGCAACTCAAGCCGGGATGGGGGATGTTGCGCGCGACATGTGTTTCACCCCACGTGAGGCTCTTGACACAATGCGATTTTGAGCCTCCAACCTACACTGGCTCGGAACTTTATACGGGATGCACACGCATAGGATATGGGTTTGGGTGGTATGCAAGAACAGCATGAAGAGTGTTCTCAAAGAATAAACAAACAACAATCGAATGCAGGAAGCTCGATGGTGCAGTAGTCAGCGAGGACGAACGCGCTAGACATTCAGCATGTGATGGCCCCTGCGTCTGAGCAAGCCCCCCATCCCCTCCACCCCCGGTTGCCCTGTTGATGCGCCATCCACGCCCGCATCAACACTGAAGAAACAACCACGGACAGGTCACCACACCACCACCTTTCACGCCCTCGAGGGCCCCCCCAGGATACCGGATACTAACCAACAGGACAAACATCTACGGGCCACGGATTTGGCTGCCGCGTACCTGCGCGCGCGCCCATTGCGACAGGAGTAACCACGCCGACATACACCGCCTGGAGAATTTCACGGGACTTCCTGGACTGCGGGAACAGGCACACAAGCGCTGCTTGGGAAGAATTCGAGTTCACACGAAGAGAGCACGCGAGATCTACGTGAGATCTACTTTCATAGCCGTGTAGATCTTGAACTGGCAACAGCACCGAACACGGTTGTCGAGACCCTCGAAGCCACCGCCGCAAACATGGCTTCGGACGTGGGCACATCGTCGCCGGCGCCGCCGAAAGACTTCGGCAGCAAGGATGACGAGCTAGAGTGGTACAGGACAAACTACGTGGCCATGGCGGAGGAGTTGCGCGACTACCAGGAGACGAGCAGGGAGGTTGAACAGACCATGGAGCAGGAGTTAGAAGCCGCCGAGGCAGAGAAGCGACGGTACCAGGAAAAGTACGAAAGTTTGGGCTTTGAGGTGGACGAGTGGAGGGTACGTATTCCTGCGTACAGGCGCGCTATGCGTACAGGCTGATATGTCGAACAGGCAAAACATAAGCAGGCCAAAGAAGAGGCAAATCGAGCACAGAACGTCCTCCAAAAAGAAATCACCACCCTACGCGACGCCAATAGAGCACTCACGCTGAAGCTGCGAGACATCGAAGTGGCCAACGACGACTTTGAGAAGCAAGCACGCCATCAGACGTCTTCTCTCGAAGACATGGAGTCTAAATATAACAAGGCAATCGAACGTGGTGTGCTGTTGGAAGAGGAAATCAAAGCTGGCGAACAGGAACGCGAAAACTTACGCATAGAAGCCCAGCGTCTCCGCGACGAGCTCAATGACCTGAAGGTCGAGGCAGAAATTACGCAAGAAAAGCTACGATTGGCAGAGGAGACGATCGAGGCGCTTCGTGCCGACAGGAAGCCCTCCGCACTTGCGATCGAGAGTTTGAGGGCACCGAGTCCCAGCTCCGATGCGGCGAGCACGAGTGCGACCACCATATCGAGCCCCACGATTGCGACACCCCCTCCAAAGAGCGAGACGAGCACGGTGCAGACGTCGCCTCCGAGCCCACCGCTGAGCGAGACGAGTGCACAAGCTGTAAAACCACCACCGGTTACCCCGGCCAACAAGCGGACGTTGGAGTCGGGCACGACGTCGAAAACAATGCACAGCGGCATCAGACCGCCAAGGCACTCTCGGGGGCCGTCCATACCCACAGCTTCCGCCGTTCGACAGCAGGGTCCCACATCTGCGGCGCCGAAGCGGACAACGACACGCCCGTCGATCAGCGGCAGAACAAGCATGTCGGGTCTTCCTCAACCTACGTCTGGCCCGCCGCGCTCGGAATCATTACATCAGCTCCGCGGTCTGCGAAAGAAGATGGCCACGCTCGAGGAGCGTGTGCAGAGAGTACATTCAAGGCTGCCTGCACCCACTACTACGCCCCCTCGTGCCAGTCCCCGCGCCGACAGAGAAATACCTGCAAGCGTGACCGTCCGCTCGAACAGGAAGCGCCCGAGCGCGAGCACCTCCACCGCGGGAACCGAGTCAGGCCCCGCGTCAAGACTGAGCTTTGGCTTCAACCCCGACGCTGGCTCGCGGCCCTCTAGCAGAGCCAGCGTGACCCGGCCTTCAAGCAGAGCAAGCGGCATAGCTCGGCCGCCCAGCCAGTCCAGCATGCGAACCCCGAGCAGCCTGGGCTACCACCCGCAGCCGGAGCTGCGGCGACCCCGCAGCAGCATAAGCGGCTCCTACGCGAGCACGCACAACGCCACGGCGGCGAACCCCTCGCTCGCGCGCTCGGAGATGGGAACGAGCCGAAGCGGGACGCCCGGTCCCCGCCTCGGCCATTCTTACAGCAACTCGATCATGAGCTCGATCAAGACGACGGAGGACGAGGGCAGCGACGGCGGGATCACGCCGACGGCGAGGAGGACCACATTGGACAAGGGCGTGAGCGGGATCCCGCTGCCTGGCGGCAGACGACAGAGCGCGGGCGTCGTACGGAGGCAAAGCGGTATTGGGAGCGGAGACGGAGGGACGGGTCCCGGCGACATGGGACCTCCCAGCAGCACGGCCAGAAGGGAGAGGAAGACGGGCGTGGACATTGGGGAGACGTTTTGAACATGCTTTTTTTTTCCCCCCCACTTGGGTGATGGACTTCTCTGAGCGTGCGTGGCCGCATGCGTTCACGGGGGGTGGTGGAGGGGGGGTTTTGGGTCAGTAGGGTGCCAGGGCGTTCATTGATGCACGTAGATGAACATGACAAGCATTTTTTTTTGAGAAGGACGTTTCACGAATCAAAGACAAACCTCGCATATATCTACGTCTTGGACGCGGCCCTTGAACGCTGTGTGTTTCGCCGTCCCTTGCCACCGCTTGTGTTTCCTACGCCATGCAGCACGGCGCCTTGCCGCAAGGCACGTTTACCACGGCCCACGCCATTTCGACGCTGGGCTCCGTGGGCATTTTGGCGGGACGGGTTTTCACTCTCTTCGGTTGCTCGCCATCTCCCCGCGCGCGCCACGTTCTTTTTCACGCTACGAGCGACGGAGCGGACGCTGCAAGCTTCGTGAGCACGTCTCTCGCAATCGGGACGTCTGCCGCGGGATTCGAAGAAGTCCTCGGCCAGGGGCCGTGAGGAGGGCGCGTCGAAAGCTGCGAAGGCATGAGGCTCGTTCGGCTGGAACGTGTGCGGTTGGCGGCGTCTGCGCAGACACAGCCGGACACGGTCAGGCTCGGACGGGGTGTGCTCGGCAGGCCATCCGGGATCGAAGCCATTCTCTTGAAAGAGGGTTTGTTCGTGCGGCTCCAGTCAGTCATATTGGTGAACGGATTGATTTGGACGCGCGGCGCACTTGACAGCGTGAAGAAGAGGGCGTTTGTTTTCGTTTCGCGATCAACGCCGTCTTGATACGTCACTTAGCCTCTGCCTTTTTTTTTTTTTTTTTTTCGTAACGACGCCTTTGCAATTACGGGCATAACACAACGTCTGTTTTAGAAACTTTTGCAGGCGTTCAAGAAGGACATGGGCGTCCGGGTGTACGCGCCTCGAAGGTTTTTGAATGCAGAATGATCAAAGGTTCGTCGAGTCCGCTCGGGAAGGACGCACAGCCACAACGTCCCGGCTCCCCTCTCAGGTCCCGCAATGTATCTCGACTGCGACGTTTTTGACACGACGCTGCTCCTAAGCAACCATCGAGCAGCACCAGCCCTGCTCTTGCTTCGGCTCGCTCGCTTGTTCGACTGAGCACCTTGCTGTTCAACGGCGGATAATGCAAGACCTGGGAATTTCTTGCAACGTTACCGTGCACAAAGGAGCGGCGGCCGCCAGCGTGCGCGAACCGACTTGGCGGGCGGTCGACCGGGGTTCACGTTAACGCGCCTGCGAACAATCTGCGGTGAGCTGGGCGGCAGATCTGAGACACGCCGTTTGCCTGGCTTCGATGATGCTCATTCTCAGAGCGGGGACGTGGCTTTTTTTCGGACAGAGCGGGCGCGCGTTGAGACGCGAAGTCAACAGCGGACAATCCTGGCCGGCTTACCGATCGCAGTGACGATGCAAGCGAGATTGGCCAATCAAGAAGCGGAGAGCCAGTGCTTAAGTAAGCGTTTGCTTAGCGCGAGGGTACAAGCTGGGGCTGGTGCGTTGTTGCTTCGATCGTGGCGGTGGCAGAGACACGCAGAGGCCAGATGAGAAGGAGACACACGCAGATGGGAGATCTGTGAACGTCCGCTCTTTGCTCTCACGGCAGAGGCAATGACAGAGTACTGGAAGGACTACGCTCCATCCGTACGTGGGGTCCACTTTCTTGCTAGAAAGTGATTCGTGCAACTTGTGTAGGCTTTTCAACGCGTCGCTTGCATGATGGAACCGAGTCGGCCTTCCTATTTCCCTTTTTCGTTTTCTTTGTGCACCCCAACTCACCCGTGCGAACTCGGGTTTGTAACCTCTCACTAGCGGCCTTTGGAGCCACGAACAGGCTCAACATCAAAAGCGACAAAGCTTACGGCATTCGGGCGCCGAAGCCAAGGCCGCATGGCGAACAAACTCACCGCCGTTCGGGCTGGGACCTGTCAAAGCGAGCGCGCCGGGCCAGAAGGGGCGCGATCTGCGTAGCCAGAGGCCCGTCGGGGCGCGAGAGACGATGAGATAGAAGACGAAAGGGAAAGAAAAAAAATTTCGAACACGTTGCAGAAGGAGAGCGCCTAAAGGCAAGTGTTAGTCCGGCCATGGCGAAACGAGAAGGTCCCGAAGTCACTTTTGACAGAGACCCTGACGTATGCGGCTCCACCCGCCAGCCCAAAACCCGCCCGTTGGGGGAGAATCGGCGACAAGACTGCGGTCGCATCTACGGCGGCCTGGGCGAGTGCGCAAGACCCCCTTCTGCGTTCGGCAACCATGGACTCGACACAGGACAATCTGTTGGGCAGCTCGCTGCTGTGGCGTGCGCGACACGGCGACAGTCATTTAACTTGATGATGGTTGATGCCTGGGCCAAAAAGAAAAAAAAAAAACAAACAATCAGCCCCCAAGCAACTGTGTGCTCGGTGGCTGGCTCTGCCGAGTAAGACAGCCGTGTGCTCATCTCGCTCGAGAAGAATGCGAGCGATCAAAGCAGCAGAAGCAGGGCTAGTGGAAGTAGTAGCATGAGAGCTTCATAATGGGGCATCGTTTGGCATTTCGGCCGTGGTAGAGGGGCGCAGGCCACGGCAGGTTCCGTGGTGCTGATGGTAGCGGCAGCATCCTCTCTTCTTTTTAATCGGCCTTTATGGGGCGGAGACGACCTGAGACGCCTAACACGTCTCGCATATTGATATGTGGATGTCTAGGTAGATATATATACATATATATATATATATATATATATACATATACACACATATATATATATATATATATATATACACCTATAAACAAAGCGGGAGAACGACAGCTGGGGGCGTCAACTCGGCCATACTTGTGCGAACTTGTGGTTGCGTGTGTGATGGCAAGAAGCGGACGGTCGATGCGAACAGCAGCGGCGGGGAGCCGTATGGGGCTTGAAGAGTGGTGGATTGAGCGTATGCGGTTTTCCCTTCGTCAATCACGACGCACGAAAGCGGCCGTTGTTGCGTACACAGTAGGAGAGCGACAGAAGAGGCCGGCCAATGGAAGCATCGGTTGCAGGGCCAACCGGATCCACCGCAGCGGGCTGATGGGTCCGGGAGCGAAAGGTACCCGGACGCCTTACTGAGGTTGAGTCTAAATTTAAGCATCGCAATGAACCTGGCACGCAGACAGGCCCTGTGAGATTGTGGCTGAAGCCATCATCACCTCAGCCTGCATGACTGGGGCATCCCGATCAGCAGCATTCTCGGGCGTGGCAAGATGGCAGATGCCGGGTCGTGGTGTTGCGAAGGCGGGCGACGTGCGAGCGCCGGGGTGAGGATGAGGAAGATTCAAGCGCACGGAGGCGCGGAAGACGGATAGACGGTGGATGATGAATGCAGTACAGGATCGGAGGGCCGCAATGTTGAAAAGCGTGCGCCAAAGTTGGTGAGTTCCCAACGTTCGGGCAAGCTTGCTCACCAAAAACCACTGGCCCGGACGCAGGGATCACGATCGTCACGGCGCTGCATCCTCGCTTTTTTGCCCCCTTCGCTTTCGCGTCGCGACTCTACGTCGTGGGGAAACGCTGCGTCCCGTCGCCGCCTACCGGTCGAGCGCGGGCTGTTTCTTTTGGGTCTCAACAACGAGAGCGAATCCCGGTGACATGCAGATCTGCGAGGCACGGGCAGCGAGGGGAGCGGACTCCTGACCGTCGCGCCAACGCGGGGCACGGAAAGGACACCACACGCACGCTGGACAGAGCACGCGGCCACACTCGACGGGGCCCCCAACGCGCGACGAGACGAGAAGCAACCCTCCGTGCTGACCACGATGACGAGGATAAGAATAATCATCGTCGTCGGGCGGGCAATCCGCAGCGTCTGGTTGAGCGCAGGCCGGCGCGGTTTTGGGGCGGACGGGGCGGGCACTGGCTGGGCGGCGCTAGGCCCGTTCGGGACCGCCCAGGCACGGGGGCTGCTCAACGCTCGGCGCGGTGCAGGCTAATTACGGCTTACCCCCATTGCTGTCCGAGTATCAGGTTGGATACACTCCAGGCTGGTCTGGCTGTGTGTGTGTGTGTGTGTGCGTGTGTGCGCGCGCGAGTGCGTGCCTGTGTAGACTGTGCGTGTGTGCCCGCGTGCTGAGCAGAGCAAGAAATGAACCGTACATAACGGACGCCCTCCCCCCTTGCCCTCAACCTCTTCTTGCTTTTGCTTTCTTCTCATGTGCTCATATCCCCCCGTAAACATCCCCCTCCCCCTCACGACCATATCTGCTTAACCCCCCCTCCTCGTATATACGCCTTTGAACTGCCACACCTTGTTGTGCGCTTGTTCCTGCATATCGCAGCCTTTCGGGCTTATCGACATTTCTTTCCCCCTCGGCGTGTTTACGAGCCGCATAGTCTCCCTGGAGAGCACCGCGTCACGACGCTCCGAATCTCATCGTATCCTGTGTCTGATTTCCTACGGTTTGGGCGAATCGTAGAAGATTGCACACAAAGGAAACACGTACCCAGATCGAGAGTTTCCAATTGACTTCCCGCAAGCACGCACACCGCAAACCCATACCCCTGGTAGATCGCAGTTCCACGGCTTTCCTCCGGAGCTGAACAGGTCGCAAAAAAGATTTAGCTTGTCGCACACAGCAGCGGACTTTCGAGTGCTCCTCCCAGCAAAGTCGAGAAACCGAAAAGGAAAAAAGGCGCAAAGCCAAAAAAGCATCGCACAACGAGAAGGCCAGCAGAAAGTCGACGGACCCTTTTACTACACTCCCGTCTTTTTAGCTTCCGCCGCCTGCTTTACGGGCCATCTTTCTCCATTCCCTCCATCCACCCCCAAAAAATCTCCCAACAAAGTGTCGAGGCCTCCATTCTCGCCTCTCCTTTTTTCCCACCATCCTTCCAAACTCCACACAACAAAGAAAGGAGCAATTAGTTTATGGGAGTTACTTCAGCAGAAATGGCCACAAACGGCGTGAAGCAGGCCAACGGTACGCCAAGCAGCAATGCAGCCAAGTACAACCTTCCCTCACATTTCATCGGCGGCAACCATTTGGGCGTGGCACCGCCGTCGAAGGTGAAGGACTTTGTGCAGTCTCACGGCGGTCACACAGTCATCACAAATGTACGTGATTTCCCCCCCCCCCCCCCCCCCCCCCCCCCCCCCCTCCTCCGCCCCTGGGCATTCACCCAGCGGGCGCAGTGGACTTGGGGAACTAGCCATGGAATGAGGCACGTGCTGACAGCGATTGGGCAGGTCTTGATTGCGAACAACGGTATCGCGGCCGTCAAAGAGATCCGATCGGTGCGGAAATGGGCGTACGAGACCTTTGGCGACGAGAGAGCGATTCAATTCACCGTCATGGCAACGCCTGAAGACCTGAAGGCGAACGCGGACTACATTCGTATGGCGGACCAATACGTTGAGGTGAGCGCGTCTTGATTTCCGAGTTGGAGGCCGTCTTGCCGGGCCCTCTGGCTAGGCCGCGGAGCCGAATCGGTGTCTTGGGATGGCAGCTCCGAGCAAGATCTGATAATGTGTGAATACAGGTTCCGGGCGGCACCAACAACAACAACTACGCCAACGTCGAACTGATTGTCGATGTTGCAGAACGAATGAACGTGCATGCTGTGTGGGCTGGATGGTGAGTTTCTTTCCTCCCTCTGCTCTCTTTGTCGCTTGGTCTGCCCGAATGGACAGGAAAATACTAAAACTTTTGGTGCTATTTCTAGGGGCCACGCGTCCGAGAACCCAAAGCTTCCAGAGTCGCTCGCCGCGTCGCCGAAGAAGATCGTCTTCATCGGTCCCCCGGGCTCCGCCATGCGATCGCTCGGTGACAAGATCTCTTCCACAATCGTCGCACAACACGCAGGGGTGCCGTGCATTCCCTGGTCCGGAACGGGCGTCGACGAAGTCGTGGTGGACGAGAATGGCATCGTGACCGTCGCTGACGACGTCTACGCAAAGGGCTGCGTCACGTCGCCTGAGGAGGGTCTGATGCACGCAAAGAGGATCGGTTTCCCGGTCATGGTCAAAGCCTCCGAGGGTGGCGGAGGCAAGGGTATCCGCAAAGTTGACCGCGAGGAGGATTTCGTCAAGCTCTACCAGCAAGCTGCCAGCGAAATCCCGGGCTCGCCCATCTTCATCATGAAGCTTGCCGGCAACGCCAGACACTTGGAAGTCCAGCTGCTGGCTGACCAGTATGGAAACAACATCTCGCTCTTCGGCCGTGACTGCTCGGTCCAGAGACGGCACCAGAAGATCATCGAGGAGGCGCCCGTGACGATCGCGTCGCAGGACACTTTCCAGAAGATGGCGGACGCCGCCGTAAGCTTGGGCAAGCTCGTCGGCTACGTCTCCGCTGGTACAGTCGAGTACCTGTACTCGCACTCTGACAATCAATTCTACTTCCTCGAGCTGAATCCGCGTCTTCAGGTCGAGCATCCTTGCACGGAGATGGTCAGCGGCGTCAACTTGCCCGCTGCGCAGCTTCAGATTGCCATGGGTCTGCCCCTGAGCCGGATCCGTGACATTCGCCTCCTGTACGGGTTCGACCCGCACTCTGCGACCCCAATCGATTTCGACTTCTCCAAGTCCGGCAGCAAGGAGAACATCCGTCGTCCGATGCCGAAGGGTCACTGCACGGCTTGCCGTATCACCTCGGAGGATCCTGGTGAAGGCTTCAAGCCCTCAAGCGGTACCATGCACGAACTGAACTTCAGGTCGAGCGCGAACGTGTGGGGCTACTTTTCCGTATCCTCACAGTCCTCTATCCACAGTTTCTCCGACTCGCAGTTTGGTCACATTTTCGCGTACGGTGAGAACCGTGCCGCGTCTCGAAAGCACATGGTTGTGGCGCTCAAGGAGTTGAGCATCCGTGGTGACTTCAGGACTACTGTCGAATACCTGATCAAACTGCTCGAGACGCCCGCCTTCGAGGAGAATACCATCACCACGGGCTGGCTTGACGAGCTTATTTCCAAGAAGCTGACCGCAGAGCGTCCGGACCCAATGGTTGCCGTCATTTGCGGTGCCGTGACGAAGGCGCACGTGGCAGCTGAGGCTTGTATCGCCGAGTACAAGGCCAGCTTGGAAAAGGGTCAGGTCCCGCCAAAGGAGATCCTGAAGACTGTCTTCCCGATTGACTTCATCTACGACGGTCAGAGATACAAGTTCACAGCGACCCGCTCCAGCGCCGACAGCTACACGCTCTTCATCAACGGTTCCAAGTGCTTCGTTGGTGTTCGTGCCCTAGCTGACGGCGGTCTGCTCGTCCTGCTCAACGGCAAATCGCACAACGTCTACTGGAAGGACGAGGTTGGAGCCACTCGTCTCTCCGTCGACAGCAAGACGTGCTTGCTGGAGCAGGAGAACGATCCGACTCAGCTCCGCACACCGTCTCCCGGCAAGCTCGTCAAGTTCACCGTCGAAAGCGGCGACCACATCAAGAAGGGCCAGGCCTTCGCTGAAGTCGAGGTGATGAAGATGTACATGCCCCTCATTGCGCAGGAAGACGGTGTTGTCAACTTGATCAAGCAGCCTGGCGCCACCCTCGAAGCTGGCGACATCCTAGGCATCTTGACCCTGGATGACCCATCCAAGGTCAAGTCCGCACAGCCTTTCCTCGGTCTCCTCCCAGATCTCGGTCCCCCGACGGTGCTGGGTGAGAAGCCGCCGCAGAAGTTCGCGTACTACATGAACGTGCTTCAGCACATTCTTCAAGGCTACGACAACCAGGTCATCATGCAGCAGACGCTCAAGGATCTCGTGAACGTTCTGCGGGACCCGGAGTTGCCCTACGGCGAATGGAATGCGCAGGCTTCTGCTCTGCACGCCCGCATGCCGGCGAAGCTTGATCAGGCTCTTGCGCAGATTGTGGATCGTGCGCACCAGCGTCACGTCGAGTTCCCAGCTAAGCAGCTCGCAAAGGCCTTCTCCCGCTTCATGGACGAGAACGTTGCGCCTAGTGATGTTCCTCTTCTCCAGGCCTCCCTTGCTCCTCTCATCGACGTCATGAACAGCTACATCGACGGTCTGAAAGTCCACGAGTACAAAGTAATGATTAAGCTTCTCGAACAGTTCTACAATGTTGAGAAGCAATTCGCGTCTCGCACTGCTCGCGACGAGGAAGTCATTCTTGCTCTTCGTGATGCGAACCGTGAAAAACTTGTCGACGTTGTCAACACTGTCCTGTCGCACACACGCGTGGCGCAGAAGAGTGCCCTATGCGTGGCCATCCTGGACCTGTACAAACCCAACAAGCCTGGCGTAGGCAACGTCGCCAAGTACTTCCGCGATATCCTCCGCAAGCTTGCCGAGCTCGAAGGTCGTGGCACCGCCAAGGTTGCGCTCAAGGCGCGTGAAGTGCTCATTCAGTGCTCTATGCCTTCTCTCGAGGAGCGTACCTCGCAGATGGAGCACATCCTCAAGTCTTCCGTCGTCGAATCCAAGTACGGCGAGAGTGGCTGGGAGCATCGCGAGCCCGACTTTGAGGCAATCAGAGATGTCGTCGACTCCAAGTACACCGTCTTCGACGTTTTGCCACAGTTCTTTGCCCACGAGGACCCATGGGTGGCACTCGCTGCTCTCGAAGTTTACATCCGCCGCGCATACCGTGCGTACCAGCTCAAGTCGATTGAGTACAACACCGAGGGCGAAGCGCCATACGTCCTCGGCTGGGAGTTCTCTCTCCGCAAGGTCGGCCAGGCTGAGTTCGGTCTGCCGATTGAATCCTCGTTCCCTGGCACTCCGGCCGACGGATCCAAGCGCATTGCCTCCATCAGCGACATGTCCTACCTCAACAGCAAGGTCAACGAGACAGAGCCGCTTCGCAAGGGCTCCGTCGTGCCGGTGCAGTACCTCGACGAGGTCGATGAATACCTCATGAAGGCTCTGGAGATGTTCCCTTCCAGCAGGAAGACTGCTTCAAGCAGGGAGAGCGGACTGATTGCTGATCTTTCCCGACGCCGTGGCCCAACCCCTACGGTCACGACTCCACCAGAGGAGGAACTCGATGCGGTCGTCAACATTGCTGTCCGCGACGCCGAGAGCTTCGACGACGCGGAGATTCTAGCTCGCATCAAGCCCATAGTCAAAGACTTCAAGGACGAACTTCTAGCACGCCGCGTGCGCCGTCTGACGTTCATCTGCGGCCACAAGGACGGCACGTATCCAGGTTACTACACTTTCCGTGGCCCCACGTACGAGGAAGATCAGTCCATCCGTCACGTCGAGCCCGCCCTGGCCTTCCAATTCGAGTTTGGACGTCTCTCCAAGTTCAACATCAAGCCGGTGTTCACTGAGAACAGGAACATCCACATTTACGAGGCCATCGGCAAGGGCGCCGAGACCGACAAGCGCTACTTCACGCGTGCTGTCGTGCGTCCGGGTCGTCTTCGAGACGAGATCCCTCTCGGCGAATACATTGTTTCCGAGGCCGACAGGATGATGAACGACATCCTGGACGCGCTTGAGATCATTGGCAACAACAACTCTGACATGAACCACATCTTCATCAACTTCTCTCATGTCTTCAACATCAACCCAAGCCAGGTCGAGGAATCGCTTGGCGAGCTCATCAGCCGCTTCGGCCCCCGCGCCTGGAGACTTCGCGTCACCGGTGTCGAGGTCCGCATCATCTGCACTGAGCCAAAGACTGGGGCTCCGTACCCACTTCGCGTCGTCATAAACAATACATCCGGCTTCATTGTCGACGTAGAGATCTATGCCGAGCGCAAGTCCGACAAGGGTGGTGAGTGGGTGTTCCAGAGCATTGGTGGCACCAAGAAGATCGGTTCTCTGCATCTTATGCCCGTCTACACGCCCTACCCGACCAAGGGCGCCCTGCAGCCCAAGCGATACAAGGCACACATCATGGGCACGCAGTATGTTTATGACTTCCCCGAGCTGTTCAGGCAGGCCATCGAGAACAGCTGGTCTCAGGTCGTCAAGGAGCATGCCCATCTTAAGGAGCGTCAGCCGCCGCACGGCGAGTGCATTGAGTACAACGAACTTGTCCTCGACGACAATGACAATCTTGTCGAGGTCAACCGTGAACCTGGAACCAACACAATTGGCATGGTCGGTTGGATCGTCACGGCCAAGACGCCGGAATACCCACGCGGACGCCGCTTCATCATCATTGCTAATGATATCACACACAAGATTGGCAGCTTTGGACCCAAAGAAGATCAGTTCTTCCACAAATGCTCCGAGCTGGCGCGCAAGCTTGGCATTCCGCGCATCTACCTGTCCGCCAACTCCGGTGCCCGCCTCGGCATGGCCGAGGAGCTCATCCCACACTTTAGCGTTGCATGGAACGAGCCTGGCCGCCCAGAGAAAGGATTCAAGTACTTGTACCTCACTCCGGAGAAGAAGAAGAAGTTCGAGGACGGCAACAGGCGCGATGTCATCACTGAGAAGGTCGAAGAAGACGGTGAGATCAGGTACAAGCTGACGACAATCATTGGTCAAGAAGACGGCCTTGGTGTTGAGTGTCTGCGTGGCTCTGGTCTCATCGCTGGTGAGACTAGCAGGGCTTATAATGACATCTTCACCGTCACGTTGGTTACGTGCCGTTCAGTTGGTATGTTCAGACATGTTTTCAAGCGCAACTGGCGAATACTAATTTGTTGCAGGTATCGGTGCATACCTTGTCCGTCTCGGCCAGCGTGCCATCCAGATTGAAGGCCAGCCAATCATCCTCACCGGTGCCCAGGCTATCAACAAACTGCTGGGCCGTGAAGTCTACACCTCCAACTTGCAGCTTGGTGGCACCCAGATCATGTACCGCAATGGTGTATCTCACATGACCGCCAACGACGACTTCGCTGGCGTCTCTAAGATCGTCAAGTGGATGTCTTTTGTGCCGGATAAGAAGGGCAACCCTGTGCCTATCTCGCCATCCATCGACACTTGGGACCGCGACGTCACTTTCTTCCCAGCGCCCAAGCAACCATACGACGTCCGACACCTGATCGCTGGAAAGGAAGACGATGAGGGCTTCTTGAGCGGTTTGTTCGACAAGGGTTCGTTCGAGGAGGCCCTCGGCGGATGGGCCAAGACCGTTGTTGTCGGCCGTGCTCGCCTTGGTGGCATCCCAGTCGGCGTTATTGGCGTTGAGACCCGCACCGTTGAGAACGTCACTCCCGCTGATCCTGCCAACCCAGACTCGATCGAGCAGGTCAGCTCCGAAGCAGGTGGCGTCTGGTACCCGAACTCTGCCTTCAAGACCGCTCAGGCCATCAACGACTTCAACAATGGTGAACAGCTGCCACTGATCATCCTAGCCAACTGGCGTGGTTTCTCGGGTGGTCAGCGTGATATGTACAACGAGGTGCTCAAGTACGGCTCGTACATTGTCGATGCTCTCGTCAAGTATGAGCAGCCCGTCTTTGTGTACATTCCACCCTTCGGTGAGCTCCGTGGTGGCTCATGGGTCGTCGTTGACCCGACCATCAACCCTCAATACATGGAGATGTACGCCGATGAGGACTCGCGCGGTGGTGTCCTGGAACCAGAAGGTATTGTTGGCATCAAGTTCCGCAAGGACAAGCAGCTCGAGACCATGGCACGGCTGGACCAGACTTATGGCGAGCTCAAGAAAAAGCTTGCGGACCCAAGCCTTACGCCCGAGCAGCAGGCTGAGATCAAGGCCAAGATGACGGAGCGCGAAAACCTGCTCCTGCCAGTCTACAGCCAGATCTCCTTACAGTATGCCGACTTGCACGACCGTGCTGGCCGCATGCAGGCCAAGGGCACCATCCGCATGGCTCTCCGCTGGCAGAACGCGCGCCGATTCTTCTACTGGCGACTGCGCCGCAGATTGAACGAGGAGTACATCCTCAAGAAGCTCGTGGCCGCCGAGTCCAAGGAGACGCCATCTAGCAGAGAAGGCAAGCTTGGCCTGCTTAAGGCCTGGACTGGTGTCGAGAAGTTCGAAACTGACGACATGAACGTCGCCATGTGGTACGAGGAGAATAGGAAGGAGACTGCTGCACGCATTGAGGCCCTGAGGCGAGAGGGCGTCGCTGCCGACGTCGCCGCTCTACTGAGGAGAGATAAGGAAGGCGGTCTCAAAGGTGTTGCGCAGGTCTTGGGCATGTTGCCCGTGGATGAGAAGGAGCAGATCTTAAAACTTCTGCAGCGCGCATAGGAATTTCATACACCGCAGGATACGGAGCCGCCCAGTCTGACCCCGACTTGGATATCCCCTCGCCTTCCTGCGCCTGGTGAATCGCCCGCCCAGCGGTTCACCGCTTGGAAGGGTATGCTGCGGTTTCGCAAGTCGCAACGGAGTCTGAAAGAGGAGGAGTAGTCGCCCAATGCTTTTACCTCTGGAGGATCTGTCCCGTTTGGCTGCTTGTGATTTTCAAGCCCCTTACCTACTGCACGCACGCTATCGATGGATGAATGCCTCGTTTTTGGTTAAGACCCCCTTCGGATCAACACTTAGTATGATTGTTTATTTGGCGCACATCTTTTTTTTTCGTTTTGCTCTCTCGCCTCTTGTAATCATTCCCAGCATGATGACGACTTGTCGGATTTTTAGGCGTGGCAGAATTACCGGTTGGAAGGGATGGAACACGCGAAAAAGAAGACGGTGATAGACAGGGTTCGTTCATGTGTGCATAGCTCAAAGATACATTGTAATCGCGAAGTCTTATTGCTCTAACGTTAAGCTTTAAAGCAAAACCCCCCGTTCATTTTCAAGTTCGTACTTTCCTTTTCCTGCTACCCCGGGGGTAACAGAAAACAGTGACGCCCCCCAAAGACACTAACACACTTGGCCCCCATCGGCTACGTACACTGCACCCGTGGTGAAGCTGGAGTCCTCGCTCAGCAAGAAGGCCACCAGCTTTGCGATCTCGATCGGCTGAGCCCGCCGCCCGAGAGCCTGCTTGTGTTTCAACAGAAACTCAATGCCCTCACGCATCGGTTGCGACAGCGTTTGCACCATCGGCGTCGCGATCACGCCACTGTCGGGGGAAAACCTGTCAGCAATGTTCCGTCCTGCTGGTGCTGCCGCGACGCAAATGACGCGGCCAAAAAGCAGTTTTTTTTTTTGGGGGGGGGGG